TTTTTGTTGGCTTTTAGTGGAAGGCAGCCAGAATTACCTAGTCTGTTTACACTTCTGGAAACAGAATCGTCTAGTTATAAAAATACAGAGAAAGCTTTTGTCAAAAGTTTGGTGTTGCTTGGTTTACAGAGAAGATTCTGTTTCTCCATCTGTAAAAGAGACATTTAAAATAGCCACCAATTTTGGAATCTGCATCAATGAAGTCTGCAGAACCCCTTGCGAGTTGAATTGAAATCACATTTACTTACTTTGCCTTGTTACAAAAACAATTTAAGGTGATTAAAACCTTAAAATTTCTAAGAGCACCAGTAGACGTTCAAATAAAGAGGGAAGGGCATTTGGTAGAGAGCACCCTTAATCTCTGCTCTGCAATTACAGGCATACATCATTATTTTACTGTGCTTGTTTTTTTTTACAAATTGAAGGTTTGTGGCAACCCTACATGGTCAGATGATGGTTAGAATTTAGCAATAAAATATTTTTTAATTAAGGTACGTACATTGTCTTTTTAGACATGCTACTGCGCACTTAACTGACTGCAGCATAGTCTGAACATAACTTTTATAGGCACCGGGAAAGCCAAAAGTGAGCCAGACTCGCTTTCTTGTGACGTTTGCTTTTTTGAGGTGGTCTAGAAGTGAACCCGCAATATCTCCGACGTCTGCCCGTAACTAGGAGTTCTCACGGTGGAGTCTGTGTAGCAACCCCCTTAAGTTATATGCAAAATGTTTTATTTGCAAATAAGAGTTTTTCTCTGAAGAAGGCCCACAGCTGTAAGCACAGTCTCAGAGGTCTAAGGTCCAAGTAAAGTTATGAACTACTTAAGTACATACAAGGAAATCTTAGGCAAATAATTTATCCTCTTTATATGTTAGTTTTCTAACCTATATTTTGATGAAACAAACACTTCATGAATTTACTCTAAGGGTTTTCCAAAAAGACAGTAATATGTGAACATGCTTTGAAAAAGTTATCCGTGTTTAAAAAAACAACTTAGTAAAACGTTCTACTTGTTTTTTTGTTTGTTTGTTTGTTTTTCAACACTTATTAAAGTGTTCAGGGTACTACAAAGGGTACCAAAACACTGTGGAAAAGTGTTCATCTTAATGACATTTATTCAACAAACATTTAAATGTACTGAATGCAGGAGATACAGATGAATAAAACACCATTCTGTATTGCCTCATGCAGGACCCAGAACCATGGATTGTAAGAGCTGTTTTAGAAATACACTCAGTACCTATGGAGGCCAGAGGAAGGGCATGTGGGGTGGGGATGGCAGATGAGCGAGCTGTTGCATGATTCTTGGGGGTGTTACCACCTAACACCTAAAATGAGTTAGTCAAATGCAGCATAAGTAAGGAGAGGAGTGAGGAAATGGTGTGATGTGTGTGCACGTGCAGGAGTGTGTGTAGGCAGGGCAAGTAGGTGATGCTGGCACAGAAAACAGAGGGCAAGACATGAGGCCGCGTGTGTGGCAGGGGCCAGACCAGGGAGGGTTTTGTGGGTTAGGTTGGATTCTGAGCATTATCGTGGGCTAAAGACAACACCAAATGCTTTAAGCAGGGGACTGAAATGATTCGATTTTGTTAGAACACTTTTTTGGCAGTACACAGCAGCAGGGGGAGGCGGCTAAGGATGTAAAATCTAGTTAGATATGTTTTGTATTGCTTCAGGAAGAGATTTGTGCGCCTAAAGTGGGAGTGGGAGAGAAGACAGATTATAACATTATTTAGTAGGTAAATCAATAGGAATGTGTAATTGAGGACATGTGTAGGGTAATGGAGAGGGAACTCTCGCTGGGGCGGTTGGCTGAACCCCCAAATGAGGTAGAGAATCAGGAGGAATATAAGTTTGGCCTCGTCGTATGTGAGCAGGTATCTGGGTGGAAATGCATCACAGGTAGAAAAGTCTGGGCTAGAGAGAGAAATGCGTGGAGGCTTGAAGAAACAGGTGATTGCTGAGAGCAAGTGGCTGAGATCAGCCGAGATAAATAAGGAGATAAGCAGGACACGCCAAAGTTGAAAAGGTAAGTGTGTGAAGAAGAGCCCCAGAGAGAGAAGGCACCTGAACTGTTCCAGCACAAGATGAAGCAGTTTCAAGGACTGAATTACTAACAGTGGCAAATGCAGGGGAGATCCTCCGGTAAGATAAGAACTAAACATATTCGTTTGACAATCAAGAGGCGTCTGTTTTGTTTAATGAGGGATGAGAACCAGATGGGAGATGAACAGCAAGTAAGGCAGTAAATGGAGAGGAAGTGTACACAGAGTTTGGATATGAAAGGGAGAAGGGCGACTAAGCTGGTGCTATCAAGGGAGTGACTTTTTTTTTAAGGACTGGAGAAACAGGAACATGTTTGTTGGCTGAGGAGGAAGGACTAGAAAGGGAGAGGATGAAGATTAAGAGTTGTTTTTTCCCGGGCTCAGAGTTCAGGCTACTTAGGAAGAGCTAAAAAGAACTAAATTCGTAGTCAATCCATCAGGAGGGCTCCTCAGCCCAACAGCTGATCCATCCATCTTAATAAAAACTGCAGAACGTCTTCCCTAGTTTACCTCAAAGAAGTAACAGCTCAGTAGGCAATTATAATACTTAGATAAGAAAATAAAGTAAGTCAGAATAACTATATTTTTAATAGTATTTTGCTGCCAACCAAAGAAAGATGCTTCTTTGGGATGAACATAAATCAATGTAAACCAAAACTGTATTTTTCTGCAAAGATCATGCTATAAACTGGTAGAAAAGTCAACTGACAGCTTATTCTACTCGCCAAGAGAACAGTGTGAGCCCTGAAAAGTGGTAAAAAGATCCCTTGTGAATATACCAACTAAGTCACCAAGAGTCCTGTATATACCAATAAGGTGAGGGGTCAGTCAGCCCACGTGAGAGCACGCAGGCAAAATTCTCGATTACCAAGGACCCATTTTCATGTTAGTTCAAAAAAATTTTGGTGAAGTTGGTAATTTGAGTGAGTCTAAAATTCCATTCAAGAATATATTTCTCTTTGCTGGAATAACAAATAAATAAGTTTTAATGGAATGAAGAACTGTGAACCAATTAAGATAGAGTTGTCTCTGGGGGGAATAAATAATAATTAGAGAAACTTTTGAATAAAATAAAATAATTTGAGGTGGGAATAACCTGAATAAGAGGTGACCGATTTTAACTGGCGCAGAATGCTTTGGCTGGTTTCTTTAAAAAAGAAAATGTGACTCTTAAAACATTAAAAACAAAAATTCAAAAATGTATTTAAAGGCTGGAACACTGGGGCCTATGTCAGTTGAAAGGGGATGCTGCAGCAAGCTAGCAAAACCAAGAAATTTTAAACCGAGATCATTCCTTCCTTCCGTCTATTCATTAACTCAACAAATAGTGCTTAAGCATCTGGTAAAGGACATCAAGCCTTTGGCAATACACAAAGCACTTTTTAATCAGTTTGTTACTCGTCCACGCATGTTTGGACCCTTCCAGGAGGCAGAGCTCCTCCTCTTGCAGGCTTGCCTGCGTCAGCGGTCTCCACTGCCTGATCCCTTTGAGGCTCACACCCCTCCTTGTTGCTGCCCCCTGCTCCCTTCCCTTCATTCACTGAACACACTGCCACCTGACTTAGTTTTCCTCTCCACTATGACTCTGGATGATCTTAATGTCCACCCGTCCAACCCACTTGTCTTTTTAGGCTTTGTGATCTTGTTTTGTCTCCAGTGATCTTCCTTAACTTCGTGTAGCCACTGCAAGGTCACGCCTTGGATCGTACTACACCACGAACTTGCTCTTCTCAGATCACTAATGCAAGCATCCTGGTCTCAGGCTAGCATTTTCTGTCCTTCCCAAGCTGCTTGCTCAACAACTCCCAGTAGACCAGAGCTGTCGTCAGACTGTCCATTGGGCTGTCTACTGTCTTCCCAACACTGTGTGTTGCCTTCACATCCTTATCTATTCAGTGTAAGTACCGTAGGACCCTTTTTCAACAACTCAATTTTAATAATTATTCAGTTATTGTCCTTTGTTCTAGTCAGACTTATCTGGCAAAACTCCAAGTTATCTCTATTTTCTGCGCGTCTGTACCTAGGCATCAGGGTGTTACTAGGGAGGGCAACAAAAATAAAACCACAAGAGGCAAATTTTCAGTGTAAGTTCTCAATCACCAACTAGCTGGGGAACTACAGAATGGTGTGGAGGACCCAACACCTCTGGGCACTTTACTCTCCACAATAACTGTTTTAAAACTTGCATTTTCAACCATCTGCCCTGGTCTCAAATTTCAGAGAAAACCAAAGCCTGCATACGCACTAGCCTCTCCTTTCTTCTAGATTAAAAGCACTCTGTCCATCGGAAGCCAATCCTTTGGACCCCATCCTCCTCCACTTTCTTTGGAACCCAGTACCATGCTGATTCCTTTGACTCTCTGGTCTTCCACTTCTCCCTTTTTCCTGGGTCCTTCTCAGAGATAAAGCAGTACCTAAAAAGGGAAAGGGAGACACACTGTTGCCTCATTCTCTCCTCCTTCACACTTCCAACATTTGGGAGCTGTGCAAAGGGTAGCTTCTTTCTGACATCTACCTCCTCTACTACCTGGAAGGGCATGTCTCTAAGCTGCCAGTTATTTCCAGGAGGTCAAATCCAATAGATGCTTTCAAATCCCTCACTCTACTTGATTTCTCAGCAGTATTCAACACCTGTGCAAAAAAAAAAAAAAAAAAAGCCCTTCCCTGGGCTTCCATGACTTTCCTCCTCCTGGTTTTCCTTTCATTTCTTTAGCTACTGCTTGTCAGTCTCCTTTGCCTGCTTATCTGCCACTTAAAACTTTTGAGAGTGCCTATGGTGTTGCCCTGGGCCCTCTCTTCTCTATAGCAGAGATCCGCACATTTTTTTTTCTTTAAAGGGCCATATAATAAATTATTCTAGGCTTTGCAGGCCATAAGGTCTGTCACAACCACTCAACTCTGCCACTGGGACATGAAAGCAGCCATGAACAATAGTTTAACGAATCGACATGGCTCTGTTCCAATAAAACTTTATTTACAAAAACAGACGGTGGGTTGGATTTGGCCTATAGCCTGTGGTTTGCCATGCCATACTCTATACTCTGCCTAGAGAAGCATCCTCTCTTGAGTCTCCAATGACCGTCTATACATCACATTCATATCCAAATCAGTATCTCCAGCTACCTAAAATCCACATTTAAATGTCTCAAAGGCATCTCAAATCTTACCTGAGGAATTGTGCTCTTTGCCCCCAAATCTGATCTTCCTCCAGTGTCCTTAGTAAAAGGCACTGCCATAGAGTGCACAAGGCAGAAAGTAAGGCATCCTAGATGTTTCTCCCTCTTTCATTCTCTAATTCTTTGAACTGGAAGAATACCTAAAAAAGGTAACTCTGTAAATGCCATTATTTGAAGCACACAGTCAAATTTAACATTTCACTAATAGAGCTAAACTTTATTTCCATGTTTATTACATGTTTATCTTTGATGTTGAATACATATTAGATTGATTTAACATACAACTTGGGAGAAAAGCTGACATTCTCCATTAGATGGGTTAAAAAGGAATGTAAAACTACAAAATACTTGTTTAAGTTTGAATTCTAAATTATGGCAAACAGAACAATAATTACCTTGCCATTTTTCTCTTTCTAGTTTTCCAAGATGGATTTCATTATAAAATGTTTTTCATGACAATTTATTTCAAGAAAGGAAATAAGGGATAATCATTAAAACCATTTTACTTTAAGTATAGAGTACAAATAAAGAGTCTTAACGCAGAACTCCTATCTCCTATTTAAAATACAAATAATACTTCAGGATATTATGAACTGAGGGGGACTGACTGTTGTAAACTGCAAATCTAATGACTTGAGCAAACCCACACATGCCATTTGCTTTTGTCTGCAAGAGTCAGGCTAATTTAAGGGTGACACAACAGAGTTCTATTTGATATCCATGTCACCCAGTTTCTACTCAGAATGGGGATGGTCAAATACTAAGTGCTTACGTGATGGAGATTCAGGATTAATCAATTCCAAGTGGCTAAGAGCTAACAGTTAATCATTCCATCCCCCAATCTATGGCCATGTACAAATGTACAGATTTTAGCATTCACTGAAAGTTTTAAAATAAAACTCCTCTAGATACTCTGAAACGGCTGAAATTCACAGTGTATAAAGACTGTTATCTGCAGTATAATTGCAGTGTTTCAGCAAAATCAAAATTATGGGTGGTTATCAAAGTTGTTATTGGTAATAGTTTCTTTTTCTTCTCTATAAGCCCCTTAGCATATTTTGTGAAGAAAGGTGTGTTCTTAATACTCCTGCTCTTTACTTAGATTTAAAAAATAATAAATCAGCTTAAAATTATTTTCTACCAGGGATTACAGGATGAAAACTCTTACTAGAAGTGTGAATGATGCCTACTGTTCTCATTAGACAGGTGTTTAGAATCATCTGCAAAATCTCATATTCTTCTTAATAATGCTTATAAAAGATGTTTAATAACGATAACTCGCTTCTAATTAGATTACTCTAGTGAGAAAATATTTTCTCATGTAACTGTTTAGGCCAAATGATTTATGGCTTTTCCATTTTTAAAATTTCACTTTTAATGTCATGTTGTTAAAGCTTTTCTAAATACTCTTCTAATATCAGATTCTTAAATGAGAAAAGACAAAAGAGCGAAAAGCTCCGTCTCAAGGCACACTCCTTTTCTTACAACAGGGTTGACACTTCTGTAAAGGGCCAGATAATAAACATTTCAGGCTTTGGGGGTCACAGGGTCACTACTGCAATGACTCAAGTTCTGCTGTTCTTGTGAGAAAGCAGCCATAGACAATATGTATTTATAGAAAGAGTGGTCCGAATTTGGCCTGCAGGCCACAGCTGGCCAATCTCTGCCGTAGAACAGAAAGGACATCTAAAACATCCTGGTCTCTAGTCCAATGTGATGACTGACTCAGAATCTAGCAGTTTAATCACTCTAGAACACGTTGATGTTGAACACCGAATTTAGCCAACTTTCCGCTTCTGGTTCGGATTATTCAAACTCATGTCATCATGCTTTTCATTTGGGATAATTTATCTTCATTTAAGAACTTGCCTGAGCATTATTTATTGAGGGATTCAGTTTAAAATTAATAAATGATGTCCATAAAATTGAATATCCAATTTAATTTTTGAAAAAAATGAAAAATATAACAGAATCAAAACATTAAAAATAAGTACACTCACTACCCATTCCAGTAATTCATTTAAGTCATATCAACTATAGAATAGGAAAAATAAATTCAGAAGTGTAATTACTTTAAAATACACTGCTTCCATTTCTGTCAATATTTTACATTTATGTATATATTCTAGAGTGTAAGCAGAAATTCTCTCTAAAAATCTCCTTAAAATCTTGAGGTGCATATTAGAGCCACAGGCGTTATCTGACATATAAAATTGCAGTACAGGCCTTTCAAATTTGGCATTTCACTGGTACAATACAATGACCAACGTGTATAATCACTGTACAGTGCCTAGACATTCCAGTAAGAACCATTATTTCCTTTAATGTAGAATGATTAATACATATTCTACAAGGGGCAGTGAGGTTTAGTAATTCTATTGGGTATGTCCTGACATAATTTTCAAATTGTACAATAAAACAAACAGCTTTGTTAAGGCCATGTTTTATTTGCTGATTAATGGACAAAAGGCAATGTAATTTATTTTCAAGTATTTTCTTGAAAGTCTGTGCTCATAAAAATCATGAAAAGTTGGAAAGACTGTTAAATCACTGAAACTTTAAATATATCTTACACAATCTTGTTTGTACAAAAATACAAGTTAAATATAAACATAAAGCAATCATGATAATTTTATGCAAATCTGTTTTATGTGATCTTCAGTTATATATAAAAGTTTCTTGGTTCTGTTTGTGAAAAGATCAATACCAGATTGAATTACTATCTGTTGGCAAAGGGCCCTAAAAAGCTTACTTTAGCAATTATCTTTTACATGGTTAAGAGCATTTCCTAATTTGAGATCACCTAAACACTGGAAAAAAGAAAAAATGAAAAGGGCAGTATGTCCATAAACCAACAAATAATGTGGCTGAAATGTATCATAAAACACAAAGAAACCCCACACATCTGTACAATAAACATTATGTATTACATACTCACACACACAGGTGTATACGTGTGTGCATGCACGTAAACACACACACACGCACACGCAGGCACGCACACACATACCCAGTCATAAAACAAAGCTTAATGAGGTGTTGCTTCCAGTTCGATATTCAGCTGTGCATTTTTTCTTACTTCATCAAATGAATAGCTTTTTGTCACCTTCCCATTCTTGAAGACAGTATGGAGAAGATCCTGCACAAATATAACAATATTGAAGTTTAATGATATTAGACTATCAAAATTCTTAAGTAATGCTTTGATGAATGAGGTTAGTTAAATACACAGAGATGCTGATATTCAAATTATGAAATGATTTTATTCACAAAGAATGCTGGTAGAGCAGGCATGATCTAAAATGGGATGCAGAGATATTTAACTTTTATGGAAAGGAATGATCTGCGTAGTACATTCTTAAAACAGTTTTCCTTAAAGGAAAAATGAAAAAACCTAGTTGACCCATCTCTTTTTTTCCAGGTGGAAGATGCTTACTGCTTTGGTTGCCCAGAAGAACTATGGCTGTCACTGATAAGCATGACTGACAGATCAGCAAGGAAAGCCTGCCAGACCTTCCCTCGTTCCTAGCCAAGACTCAACACCGATTAAACTTCTCAATTTGGAATTTACTAAACTTTCTAATCACGAGTTTTGGCCTTAAAGAAGCAAGCAAGCAAATAAAGCCAACACTGAAAACAAGCAACCAAACCCAGAACAGAAGCATAAATTGATTTCTTGACTAATGCACAGCCACTGATTTTAAAAACTCTGCGTATATTCCGGAAGTCACTGATACGTGTAATCCATTTGATCCACACAAGGATAAAACAAAGACCAATTAAGAGAATTAGGACTAAATTCCCTTTCGAGTCTGGTAAAGCCATCCCTGTCTCACTAAGGAATTATCTGCCTCTAGTTTTTCCTGAAAAATCCACAGAAGTAATCTACTATGCCGAAGTTTTCCATCTCATCGGAAGGTGAGGAGCATACAACGTTATCTAACATTTTTGTCATTATGTTGTTTCCTTTTTATCCTATGTTTTATTTTTTATTTCAAATTTTTTTTATTGAGGTATAGTTGATTTACAATATTAGTTTCAGGTGTACAACATAATTATTTATTATTTTTAGATTATAATCCACTTAAAGTTATTATAAAATATTGGCTATATTCCCTGTGATGTATAGTATGTGTAGTTTCTTTTTTTCTTTTTTTTTTTTTTTTTTTTTTTTTTGCGGTACGTGGGCCTCTCACTGTTGTGGCCTCTCCCGTCGCGGAGCACAGGCTCCGGACGCGCAGGCTCAGCGGCCATGGCTCACGGGCCCAGCCGCTCCGCGGCATGTGGGATCCTCCCGGACCACGGCACGAACCCGTGTCCCCTGCCTCGGCAGGCAGACTCTCAACCACTGTGCCACCAGGGAAGCCCATGTAGCTTATTTATTTTATACACAGTAGTTTGTACCTCTTACTCCCCTACCCTGCCCCTCCTCGCTTCCCTCTCCCCACTGGTAAACACTAATTTGTTGTCTGTATCTGTAAGACTGTTTCTGTTTTGTTATATTCATTTGTTTTATTTTTTAGATTCCACATACAAGTAATAACATACAGTATTTGTCTTTCTCTGTCTGACTTATTTCATATAGCATAATACCCTCCAGGTCTATCCATGTTGTTGCAAATGGCAAAATTTCCTTTTTTTTTTTAATGGCTGAGTAATATTCCATTGTATATATGTGCCACATTTTCTTTATCCATTCATCTGTTGATGGACACTTAGGTTGCTTCTGTATCTTGGCTATTGTAAAGAATGCTGCTGTGAACATTGGGGTGTATATAGGTTTCAAATTAATGTTTTCATTTTCTTTGAATATATACCCATGAGTGGCATTGCTGGGTCGTATGCAACTCTATTTTTAGTTTTCTGAGGAGTCTCCATACTGTCCTCCCTAGTGGCTGTATCAGTTTACACTCCCACCAACAGTGCAAGAGGGTTCTCTTTTCTCCACACCCTCTCCAGCATTTGTTATTTGTAGACTTTTTGATGATGGCCATTTATTCTGACAGGTGTGAGGTGAAACCTCATTGTGGTTTTGATGTGCATTTCTCTAATAATTAGCAATGCCGAGCATCTTTTCATGTGCCTGTTAGCCATCTGGATGTCTTCTGTGGAAAAATGTCTGTTCAGTCCTTGTGCCCATTTTTAGATTGGATTGGTTTTTTGGATATTACGTTACATTAGCTTTTTGGATATTTTGGATATTAACCCCTCGCTGGTCATATCATTTGTAAATATTTTTCCCATCAATGTAGGCTGTCTTTTTGCTTCATTGACGGTTTCTTTTGCTGTGCCAAAACTTTTAATTAGGCCCCATTTGTTTATTTTTGCTTTTATTTCTTTTGCCTTGGGAGACTAAGAAAATACTACTATGATTTTTGTCAGAGTGCTTCGCCTATGTTCTTTTCTAGGAGTTTCACGGTATCATGTCTTACATTTAGGCTCATTACTGCTTTTGACACATTCTGTATCTTTTTTGTTTTGTGTATCCCTGAACTACTTATAGGTGATTTTACTGTTTGTCTTTTAAACTTCCTTAGTATATGCTTGATTTGCTACCTTTACTATATAACTGCCATTACTGATGAGGTATTTCCTTTTGTAATTATCATGTTTACTCCTATTAACATTTCTTATAAAGCTGGCTTGGTGATGCTGAACCTTTAGCTTTTGGTTGTCTGTAAAACTTCTGATATCTTCAAATCTGAATGAAAACCTTGCCAGGTAGAGAGTATTCTTGGTTGTAGGTTTCACCCTGTCATCACTTTAAATATATTGTGCCATCCCTCTGGCCAGCAGACTTTCTGCTGAAAAGTCAGATTATACAGCCTTATTAGAATTCCCTTGTAAGTTGTTGCTTTTCCCTTGCTGCTTTTAACAATCTAATTACAGTCTTTCTTGGTGTGGTCCTCTTTGGATTTGATCCTTTTGGGGCTCTCTGTGCTTCCCCTTCCCAGGTTAGGGAAGTTTTCAGCTACTGTGTCTTCAAATATGTTCTCTGCCCCTTTCTCTCTCTTCCTTCTGGGACTACTACAATGCAAATGTTAGTTGCTTGATGTTGTACTAGAGGTGTCTTAAACTGTCCTCATTTTTTTTTATTCTTTATTCTCTTTAGCTTAAGTGATTTCCACTACTTTGTCTTCCAGTTCACTGATCCATTCCTCTGTATCATTTCATCCGCTGATTCCTTCTAGTGTATTTTTAATTTCAGTTATTGTATTCTTAATCTCTGGTTCTTTATATTTTCTGACTTTTTGTTACAACTTCTAAACTCTCACTCTGGTTAGCCAGTCTTTTCATGAGTTCTTTGATCATTTTTAAGATCATTATCTTGAACTCTTGTACGTGGTAGGCTGGTTATGTTTTCTGACCTTTGAGAAGTTGCCTTTTGTAGAACTCCTCTGTGTCCCAGCAGTGAATCCCTTCTGGTCACCAGAGCTATATGCTGCTCTAGGGCTCCTCCTATGTGGGTTGCTTGGGTCCTTCTGTTGTGGAAGACTGACTACAGCAGGCAGTCTGGTAGATGCGGCTGGCCCCCAGTCTCGTTGGTTGCCAGGCCTTGTGTGTAGACTGCTCGCGGCTGGTTGGTGGGGCTGAGTTATAAGGCTGCTAGCTGTGGAATCCTGGGGGGGTCCCGGGGCTAGTGTCAGCCCACTGCTGAGCAGAGCCAAGTCCTGAGGGCTGGTGTCAGACTGCTGGTAGGTAGGGCCAGTTGCTAACAGCTGGCTGTGGGGTCCAGGGTGTCCTGAAGCTTGTGTTGGCTTGCTAGTGAGTGGGGCTGGATCCAAGAGCAGCTAGCTGAGGGGCCCAAGGTGTCTCCAAGGTCAGCTACTGGGTCTGACTCAGGCTCCTTTCAGACAACTGCTTCTGCCCTGCGTCTCAAAGCATGTGTAAGTTTGTGTGTGCCCTTTAAGAGTAGAGTCTCTATTTCCCACAGCCCCCTGGGTGTCCCGAAATAAGCCCTGCTGGTTTATCTTCCTGGTGCAGGACCTGCCCCAGGCTGGAGAGGCTGAGGTGGAGCTCAGACCCCTCACTTCTTTGGAAGAACCTCTGAAATTATATTCTTCTCCTGTTGATGGGTTGCCCACTTGCAGGTGTGGGTCTTGACTATACTGTGACTCTGCCCCTCTCACCTGCCTCGTCATAGTTCCTTCCTTATAGCTTTAGCTGCAGATCTTTTCTGGTAGATTCTGGTCTTTCTCGTCAGTATTTGCTCTGTAAATAGCTGTAATTTTGGTGTGCCCGTGAGAGGAGGTGAGCTCAGGGTCTTCCCACTCCACCATCTTGAAACAATCTTATCTGTCCTTGTGTTGCTTCAAATCACTGCTCTTGCTGTGACATTTTCTTTATAAATTTAACTTTAATCTATTGAGGAAAGGTGGTTCCTATTAAATCAAAAGGTCTAGATGATCATAAATTGATTAGTGACTCAAATGTTCTCGAGTATCATTCACATACTCTTAAAATCAATGCCTCGTTTTACTCATAGTTATGACCATGTCTAAAGTGAGTTTTGTCACTTTGCCAATTCGGCAAAGTCTTTGTAGTACAAGAGTTAAGTGAAAGCTATGCAAAGAACTGCATAACAGGCTATATAAAGGAAACTAATTCTAAAAGTTTTAGGGACTTATATATATTTTTCATTAAACAGAAAAATCATATTGTATTAATTCTGGCTCAAAATCTTAAAAGAATATAATAAAAGTAACATAAGCAAAATATGTGATGTGGTATAAAGGATCAAAAGTTAAAAACATCTAAAGTAATAAGTTAGTGTATGTATTTATGTTTAGTGTAAACCCTCCTCTGAGAATATGAATATTCATGAGTAATTTTCCTCTAAAAAAGAGTATTTTCTTTTTCAATCTGGTGGCTTAAAAACAGAAATTTTATAACTATTGAGTTCAGGAATATAAGTGTACTTTTGTATGTTAACGAGCATAGAGACTAGCATACTATAAATGTTTCTAGTTTGGTTGACTAAAATCAGAAAACTTGGTTAAGTCTAGGTTTCACCATTTATTAGTTATATAATCTGAATCAAGTCTCACTGTTTTCACATCTTACACTACTAAGATAACGTAACTTGCCTTTTTTAGTCATTAGAGCTGCTGGGAGAGTCAAATGAGACTAAAGAAAACCATCTGAACTGGATTCTATTGTTTTGAAAAAGGGAATTGTCTTTAACAACATTTTAGAATTTGGATAGCCCTTCTTTTATCTAATAAAATTACCAAAGTTTTACTATAACATAAATAGCTATGAGCAGTCTAAGAAGAACATCCTTTAAGTATTCTTAACTATTCCCGTTCAGAAATGATTCACTGCTAATTGGCAATAAGAGTAAGATCAAATATATGCAAACTCACTGAAGCTCATCAATCACTCCCTGCTGATCACTATGTCGAAAACCGTAATTTTTTTGGAATGTTACAAAATATTTCACCCAATGTATGTGAAAGTCTCATATTTACTATCTAGCCATTTCTTGTTTTTCATCGTATTTTGGAAGGCTAGGTCAGCAACTGTAAACACTTTAAATAAAACATAAAAGCTTCCTTTCTTAATTTGAAGAGTCAACCTACTACTGTTTAAAAACCAAACCAAAAAAAAAAAAAACCCAAATCAGCATAGATACATACATGACCATATTCTTCAAGGTCTCCTTTTCCTTCCTCAAGTGTAACAAAATTCCCTGCTGGTGTCCTATGCAAAGATAATCGGCCCTTTTTGGACCTTTTGTTGGGATCAGCAACCGGGTCCTTGAAGACATTAATCTGGAATCCAAATTAAGAAAGTTGGAGAAATACAAGACTAATCATCAGAAATGTTCACTCAACACCCATTAAAAAAAAAAAAAAAGTGTGTACCTAATTTATATAAATTTTAAGGCACTTTGTACGTATAATTAAACCAATCCACACCTGGCTTTTAGAGACAAGACTCTAGCCTGTTTTGGAGGACAGAGTCCTCTGTGATGAAGAAGGTATGAACAAAATCCAAATCTTGGATATTCTTTCTTACCAGTGTAGAATACTAATACTCCATCTGTAGTAAGTCTTTGAGGTTAACAATGTGACCCTTAAGGTATCTCCTTTTGTATTATGCTTTGCCCTTAAACTGATCTAAGTACAGCACATGTGTGTTACTGAAAAATCAATCTATGTCAACTCAATTATATAATCTGTGGCAAGGGAACGAGGAGTTTACTATGATAAAGCCTTTCCTATTTCATAACCTTTTCCCTTTTGTTACCTTTTATTCTATTACCTTGTTACTCTCAGAAGCAAAGAAGACCTAGAGAACCTAGAGCACAATGTTTCAGGATCAGAAAGGAAGAAGCAACTGGAGATGGCTATAAGAAGAGAAGCAGAAGAGGCAATCCCAGAACTCGCCAAAGAAAGATGGTGGTGAACTAAGGTAGGGAACCAACCCCTGTGTTCTTAGGATCCCCTACACACACCCTTTAATACACAGACTCTCAAGAGCTTATGAAGAGCTAGGGAGACTGTTGTTCAGCTGCTTGCAGCTTGGGTTCCCTTGTTTTAAGGCTACCAGAACACGATTCTAGTAACACAACTCACACGTCATAGTTCACCTTCCTAAAACATTCTTTGACAGTGTTTACATACGTGATGGCTAGGTTAGCTGACATTCTCGTTCAAATATGGTCAACTTTTTGATTCAAAGGTATATACTGAAGTAGTGGAAATGAATTGACCTGCATCATCTCTCTTAAATAATCTCTCATTTTCCCAAATCTCCATTTTTTTCTGAAGTCAAGTTATCACCCCCTGTCTCTTTTCCTTCTTTGTTTCTGCCTCAAGGTCAGGGGTACCTGACAATACAGTAACAGTTCAGGACCATATTATCCTTGGACTATTGTGTTCAATAAGTACATTCAACATACACACATAAATATTAACAACACAAGAGTAAAAGTTCAATGACATACCCCAAGGCCATTGGTTACAACATAACTACATTTAAAGGAACAATTCAGGAGATCTCTTGTTAACTTCTGTAGCAAAGCTCCACCAGAACCAAAGGAAACATTTTCTATGCTCCATTTTTTTTGCTTCATGCCTTCCACAATCTAGATTAAAAATAAGATATAAATAAATAAATTTAAGCCAAGTAATTTGGAAGAGGAAGGAGCTAATTATCCATGAGCCATATTGATGAATAAACCATCCAAAGCTGTTTTATAACACAGTAAATAATGAGATAAGAATAAGGTCTACACAAAGTTACATTCCACTCTTTTCTTTTAAAAGACCCACCAACCCCAAAAAAGGGCAGCCCAAGGGATAAGTGTAGAAGGAGGGGATTTCATTCAAAGTTCCTGAATTTGTGTTGTAGTCACAGTGATTGTGGTTTAGGTTGGGGGAATGGAGGAAATGAGAGGGAGAAAAATAATAGCTATAAATACCTAAGGTTACTTGAGTAAACTCTCATCTACCTCTTGCAGTTACTGCCCAGATGCCAGTAGCACAAGCAATGGGGCCTGGATGTTTGCCCCAAATTACTAGATTCTAGAAATGACACTCCTCATCACTAATAAATCTCAATACATGTTATCACATGTCATATGTAATGGGGCATTTAAAAGTCAACGGATATTGGTGGTAAAACAGTATAAAACACCCTCTCCTGCGTAACAGTTGAGACACTGGCAGTCATCTTACTCTGGCTGGTACTCCAGTGCCGTAAGCAAAATTATGAACTGATTGGGTGTTAAGATTTATCATTGGATCATTTTTGGGAGAATGATCATCTAAAAGCCAGAAAGAGAGACCTATATGAACAGAGAGTTCCAGCAACTAGAATAGTTCTTTCAAGGGACACATAATTTAAAAGTTACATTAATTTATTAATCTACATTATTATCAATATCATTTGTATTTCTTTTTCCTAAGCAGGACTTATTTACCTAGCATCTGTCTTATTTAACATATTCCATCACTTTTATGGTAGAAGGTGGCAAATAAAATTTAATAACCATTTTTAATTTTATAAGAATAGTCGAAAGGAAGTAACTGGAAAGTCCCGTTTCATTTTATTTAAACAGAACTTTCAGAAGTGATCAGAAAACCGTAAGCAAGTTTAATAGTTTTAAGTGAATCATTAATAGAAATTTGCCATATTCCTCCCAATACCAAAAGTCTCAAACTGACCTTTTATCTATCCTTATTTTCAACCTTGCAAGACACAGATAGATAAACTCCAAGGACCTTCATCTTTTAACAAGCCCACACTTAAAAAAATATCTCAGCCATCTAATTCTCCTGGTATATGTCAGGAATCAAGATGGAAACATATACAATTTATTTTAAAGTGATTCCTTAGGTTGTACATAAACCCAGTCTCATGTCTTTTATTACTATACCTGAACCCAAAAGTACTCAAGGGCCCTGAATTCAGATTTATTTTTCACTGAACTAACTGTAAACTAAGTATAACTAAAATAATAATAAAAACCTTATAAGACAACACAAAATTAAGGCATGTTCTAAAAAGTGCATTTCAATACTGAAGGGGGAGAAGAAACGGAAACAGATAAAGATGGAGGGTAAGGAGATTTGGGTAAAATATATAGAGAAAATAGTTTCAGAACTGTCACCTGATTTTAGGTAAGCCTCAGAAGCACAAGAAGGAGTAAATCACAAAGAACAGTATCACCTAATGTCATATCTCTGTATTTTAGGACCAATAAGATATTCTTCCCATATAGCTTTGCCAAAAGTTGTGAAATTTAGACAATTTAAAGTTTAAGTGAATTTTTCTATTGTTACAGGAAATTATGGAATTAGAGTAAAAATTACTGTTTAAAAATATTTGCACATACGAATCAGAAGGAAATCTGACTAGACATAGCAAAAATGCTATATGAATTTCCTTTTCTTGCTTCTAAAGACTTACTTTGACCCACCTACAGTATGAAGAAAGCAGGTAGCAGGTATTACCCCCTTTAGGTAATGAGCGCATCCGCATTAATACCAACTATTCATTCTCTGACCATTCTGTTTAAGGTTTCACCAATGCCAGAGAATATCTGTCTCAATATTTAACTTCTTGATCATGGAGTTTAAAAAAAAAATAGTTCGAGTTCTGAACTGATTCTCAACTTTAAAAAAGAAAAAAAAGGAAAGCCAAAGAGCTTCAGTTCAGTTTTTAAAGGGAAGTTCAAATACCTGATGGAACAACCGAACTTAAAGAGCTGCCCCTAAGAACAAGTAAGGGTAGGTATAAGCAACGGGAAGCGCACTGGGCTAATGCGTATTCTGATATACAGTACCCTGCCCACATTTCTTCATCTGAAAGGGGGATAAGTATGTGTGAGGGTACCCGCTACAATGGAGGTATGCGTACTAGTTCTTAACTGATACCAAGGTCAGAAACCTTCAATTCAGCTGAGCGACAGGACAACTGCAATTGAACATGCCAGCTGAGATTTCTATGCTCAGGTCCTCTTCCTTGCTGCAGATTTTTCTTCCTTCCTTTTCACATCAAAGCCTTAGAGCTGGGGAAGTTTCCACTTTTCTTAGGCAAGGCAGTTTGGGAGAGTTGGTAGAAGAAACCTCATTTCTGTTATTGCAAGACATCTATTCCAGACATCATTTTCAAACTCTAAATGCATATCGCCACGGAAGTACTGATAGTGATATGCAATAGTTCTTACTTTTATTTATTTAGTTTAATTTTTTTTCGTTTTTGGCCACCCTGTGCGGCATGTGCAATGTCCCCGACCAGGGGTGGAACCCTTGGCCCCTGCAGTGGAAGCATGGAGTCGTAAGCACTGGACTGCTGGGGAGGTCCCAATAGTTCTTACTTCTAAATGAATCTTTGGAAAACAAACTATTTATAATTTGGGTACTGACCTTAATCTAACCACACTGAACTCTTTCAAACAGAAGATTCCATCTGAAACTATATACATTAAAATTTCAGTGCTTTATAGTAGCTGACAGTCTACAGCGTGGTATCGCTGATAGTCTTTAATACCCAAAATACTCCATAAAAATTGAGTTCCTTAGAAGCTTATCCGAGAAACAAAAGAGGAAAAAGTTTTAAGATAGCATAAAACATACGCTATTTGGCTAATAGTGGTAACAGTCAATGTTAAAATTTAGAAGAGGTGACAAACCATTCAATAATTTTTGAAAAAGCACAGATGAATATCATTCAAGTTTCACACTGTTAGAATGAAGCTCCATTCTATTAAAACTGAGACCTATTTGTACAGTGTCAAGACTTTTTGTTGTATATACAAAAAATATTCCTTGAATGGCATTTTCTTATTTCCTAGTGACACTTCTTTGGGCTCATCATCCAGGGCGGCCATTGAGGACTGGCAGTATGGTTTGGCCGGTACTTCTGTATTTTAAGTTAATATATTTTAAATATACTTCTATATTTTAAATTTTAAGCAATTAACAGAAAAGACATAAACCATCTTAAACACTTATTAAAAGAATCACAGCTGTACTTAAATTATTAATGTGTTCTTTATCAAACTAATAAAAAGGAGTTTAATTATAAGGATTGCTTTATTGAAACTTTTAATATAAAATCCGTACCTCTTGTAAGGTATTAATATCCACTCCATCCCCTTGAATAACTCTAAGATAAGGTGGCAGCAACTTGTAGCCCTTTGAGTTCTCAGTAACAGGGAACTTCTTACCTAAAATATCCAAAACCTGTATGGAAAAATACACAGCCAAACACAAAATAACTAATACTGAAAAAAAAGTGTTAAAGCTTTCCAAAGTTTAAAAAAACCCAAGATTGTTAGCAAAGCAAGGTTGAGAATATAAAAATTAATAAAAATTAATCAAATTAAATTTTACAATACTATGTATAAGCCTTCTAAAATTTTGTCTCAATTCCTTTTGATTATGTTAGAAACAGGCATGCAATTTTCTACCAAGTCAACTTATACTGTAAAGTGGCTCAGAACACAAGTAGTTTTCCCTCACATTTTTCAAATTAGATTCAGGAAAAAAAAACCCTTTAACATTAGGAGCTTACAGTGGTAAATATAACATTTTTCAAAGGTATATAAAACATCATTTAAAAAACATGATTATACTTTTGATTTGGATTTTTTCTGCTTGTGCCCAATAATTTAATTTGTCTAACATAAATAATTTGTCTGACACGAATCCACCTGAATTACAAAGTTCAAAGAAAATCATGATACACAGATAAAGCTGGAAATGAAGCATATATAACCTGTAGTTTCTCTGAGGTGCTTCTCACTTAACAATGACACCCATTTTTAAAACCAAATGGCTTAATACGCCAAGTTGTCCCACTTAGTCAGAGATTCCAAAGATCTACCCAACAATCACTCCCTTTTCCTAAATAAATTGTTCTAACAATGAAAACATTCCATACTGATAACTTTGTTGATTCTTGAAACTAGGTTTGGATATTTTTATTAGGTAACAGGAAAAACATGCAACCTGTTCAGTTTGCTAAAACCAAATCTGTTCATATTTCAGGCTAAGATCAGACCTTCAGATGGCCTATTAACAGGATAGGAAAAGACCTCCTTGATTCTACACCCCACTTTCTTAAGGGGTAATTCATCACCTAATCATCAGCTGGGAAACAGTGTGGCAAAGAGGGAAGGTGATAGCCACAAAGACCTACGTTGGATACTTGGCTTATTTTACATGTCATGTGACCTTAAGCAAGTTTATTTTAACCTCTCTAAGCTGGTCTCTTTGTCTATAAAAAAGAGATTGTAATATTGATCATAGGATTTCCATAGAGATTAAATAATGACACAGCTAAAGCAAAGCACACACAGCACTATACTTTCCTAGTAGTAAGCATCAATAACCTGCTCTTATTAGTGCTTTTCAGAGAAGGTAAACCAAGTCCTAAACACTAAAAACAATGCAACAAGGCTATATTGAGAATCAACAGTATCTGTAATGAATCTCTACTTGAAAACTATTTCCAAATTATTTTTATTCCACATTACATTGCACATATTTCTTTTGCACTAAAACCTTCAAAGGTACTGCAATGATAAAGGAAAAAGAAAGAACCCACAAACTTGGTAACCAAATCACAGGACTGGTTAAAATGTTAACACTATTAATTAATTTTGAAGGTAAAAAGAAAAGAAAATATCTATTCAACAGTACTTAACTGTTTCTTTGACAGTATATAAATAATCCATAACTCTGGATATCCTTCCTCTGTTATTAATGCGTGACCTTGGGCAAATCTATTACTCTCTGGGTTGCAACTCTAAAATAAGGGGACTAGTCCAGAGAGTTCTGAAATGGTGTGTGTATAAATGAAATTAAAAGTAGTGTCGATGCAGCTGGTCTATAGGCACTTTAATAGTCAACTTACGTATTAAAATTTACCTTTAATACAGTGTCAAGAGGATTTCCAGAATCAGGTCTGATTATTAGTGGTGCCTCTGTACTTCTTGATACTATTAAATGTCTTAGATCTTCACCCCAGATTTTCTCACACGCATTATAAATGTCATAGCTATCGCTGACCACAGATACAGGCACTGATGAAAATTGTGTTACTATATGTTCAAAAGCATCTTTTTCATGGTCCTTCCCCCAAGCTGTTATGGTACTAGAAAACAAAATGAAAATACAGATTTACTTAGGCAGACACATTATATGTTCCTGAATCATATCTCATGTTTACTATACTACACCTTCAACACTGCAGAGAAGGTGAGTGATTTCGTTTAATAAATGCACATCAAAAGGTTAACTGAGTATCTGAGCCAAACCACTCCTTGGCCAATTTTTAAGACTGTAAGTAATCTCATTCCTCTCCAATAGTTATTTAAACTCTTAAGTCATGTTCAACCAACTATAAAACTACATTATCTTCTTTTTTAGTATTCCTGAACCTACCCATTTAAAATGAGTGAGCTAAAAAGTACCTGCTGCAGACACTTTTCTACGTTAAAATGAGTGAGCTAAAAAGTACCTGCTGCAGACACTTTCTATGTTACACTGAGATGTTAGAAGGAATGAACACATACTCCCATTATTCTGCTAGGCCATGCAAGCATTTGGCTCCCTTCTGTGCATTTTCAAAACCATATACCAATAATAGAAGGGACACATTTTATCTTTCTTACATTTCAAAATCTTACACTTAAAAGCAATTACTTAGGCAATTATTTATACTACACCATGCATAGATACAGTAGACTAACTCTTTACCTGTTATATCTTCAGTTGGCCAGTAACAGGTAGTCATTTATTTCACTTACAGATTATCCACTAGTACTTAATATATGCTCCGGGAATAAGAATTATAATATTTAGTTTCAGCAAAACATAATTAAGATGGGAAATAAAGTGTGTGAGTTTCTATTAGGCAAGTATTATTATAGTGATTTTTACACTGTCCTCAATAATGGTGGTTCTTTTTGAACAGATTAATGACATGTAACCTAAGTACTTGCTGGTTAACCAATATATAACATAAAAATTTTTTTAAATTCTTAAAGAAAACTTCATAATGAATTTTAGAATTGTTACCATTTTCTCATGCCAAGTAGTTTTTCTTTCTTCCTAATTTGCTAGTCTTTGCCTCTACCCCATTTTCCGAAGTAAAATGATGGAGAGTAAAACAACCCATTCATTTAACCCCATGCAGATATAAGGTTATCTCAAAACTGTTTGAAAAGTCATACTAATTTATTTTTGAAATTGTTGTTTTATTCTTATTTTTTTTCTAAAGGACTGAAGTAAACAACTTTTCTTATGCTGGGGATGGCAGAGCATGCACATTTCAGGGGTGTAAAGACTTAGCTACCCAGAACTACTCTCATCTGAAATGGAGAGATAGCATATTTATATAAAACTCATTTTACAGTGAACAAAGTAGCTATGATGCCAACTCTCCACTTAATGCAAGTATCTGCAGGCTAAAGGGAAAATTAAGACATGGATAAAGAGAAGCCCCTTCTTCATATCAAGAATTGCTATGGTCCCCTTTATAAGGGAGAGAATTAAGCTCAAAAAGTACCAACACTGGAGAGCTTTGCAATGTAAGAACAAACTCTTAGAGTTAAGAGGTCACTGTTTATGCCCTTATTTTTTACTAGCATTGTATCAATACAGTCAACTAACTCTGCTATTTGTGTGTATCACGTCTAGCAAAGTTAATGGTTCATTTTTAGTCTTTATCTTACTTGCTTTCTCTTTGGCATGTGAACTTTCCTGAAGCTTTCTTTCCCAATGACTTCAATGACATATCCCATGTTTTGATTTTTTTCCCCATACTTCTATGGGTCCTCTTCAGTTTCCCCTAGATGCTCTCCTTTCTCAATGTGACCTGGGGCACTGGTCTCTCTCTATACCTCCCTATGTGAAAAACACTCAAAAGCTTTTTAAAAATACCTTTGTAGTGAGTTTCCAAAATCTGTACCTTAGCCCAGGTTTTTTTTTTCTGGACTACAGATCCATTTTGTTAGGGAGGAAAATGAGTTTCTTCATCTCATCGTCCCACAGACATTCCCCATAGCACCCTCCACATAATCTAATCATAACAACATCTAGTATAATATTTGGTATGTGGAGATCATAAATATTTGTTCAATGAATTCTACTTAATTTAATTTGATACCTTTCCAAAGTCTCAGGAAGAGTTATGTAATTGAATATTTTCAAGTCCAGATTCATATATTCTTTAAGAAAATATTTACAACAATAATGGCAATGGTCTAAATTTTAGTGTTTTCTTATGTTAAAGTTATCTTGGATGTTAGTTCATTTTCCCTCAATGACCTTCTGATGTAGGAGATGTAAAATTTTAGCTCCTCCTGGATGGAGGAACTGAAGAACAGAGAGATAAATGACTTGCCCAAGGCCACCCAGTATGTCAGCTGTGTCACTCAGATTTCCCAACTTTCAGTCTACAGCTCTTTTCACTATACTTTGCTGTTGTTTAAACGACTTGTCTATTTAAGAACATCTGACACATTAAAGAGTCAAATTTGCAGATGTAGTAAATATTACAAGACTATAAAAATACAATAGATTTTCAACCTGTTTTAACATAAAGCCCTAAAGAAGATATCACCTTTATTCTCAGATGTATAGTATCATACTCATGATGTTATTACTCTGAAACAAAAGCATCAATGAAGAGTCTAATATATGGGTACTACAAGAAGTTTTTTAAAAGGTGTACATATATCTAAGACCAAAAATAAAAATACTGCAACCTTAAAATCCTGGTCTGTTAATGTCACTCTTATTTTCCCAGTTTCACCAGTCTTGAAACTTACATGTGAAAGTATTCATGTCCCTACTAATAAAGCAATGCTAATATATGTTAGCTGAATGTACCCTCTACTGAGCCCCAATTCAAATCATCATGTTCCAGCAATTTCATCTCCCTATAGCCAATGCTCATGTTTATCCCCTTCTTTCCATTTATTTAGCCACTTGGATCTGAACCTCATCATCTGTCAAAATTATTGCAACAGCTTCCTATAAATCCTCCTAACTTTTCATTTCTATTTTTCAATTCATAAGATAGCCCACTATTACTCTTGCGACAGTATTTCTCTGATGACATCACTTCTTGGCTCAAAAACTTCAATGCCCACTCCCATTTGAAAATGGAATTAGAATAATCTAGCATGATGAGCAAATAGTTAACATTTCAATACCAAAATAAATTTGAGGGTGTTTACTAACCTGTCTTTCCACTCTACCCTACATTCCCTACAAAATGTCCCTACAAAATACATTTCAGCCCTTATTCCCTAAACACATCCATATTTGCCTCTTTCATTCTTGCTCTTTCAGGACAATGCTTAACACATGGTAGGCATGTAATAAATACTTAGAGAATGAATAATCTAATGTCTGCCATTAAATTTTACCAATCATTCAAGAAGTCAAGATTTGCATACCATCTCTATAAAACCTTTCTTGATCCAACCCTATCAGTGGAACATGACCCTACTTCTTCCTTTGCACTGCTAGAGCACTTTAATTGTACCTCTTTAAAAGCACTTAACAGAGCAGAACGCTGCTAGTGTACTATCTTTAATCCAAAAGATAGGATTAATTCTTTACATCTTTCTATCCCTTGTAGCACCCAGTAGACTGCCTGAGATCAAAGCTCAGCTCTATTCACTGCTGGTTTTAACACCCTGCAATATTCAAGTATGAGTAGAATTTAATAAACTGCCCCGAATTAATTACATTAAATAATTTTTGTTATAAGAACAATAAGGTTTGGCATACATTTTAAAAACTCCACTAACTTTCAATAAAATTAACTCTAGGATCAGAGCAGCTATAGCCTAGATCATAATTGTCTTCTAGCTTAACTTGAGATGCTTTAGTAAAATCAGATAAGGAAGCGTAAGAAGACTCTAACACTCTTCCTTTCAACAAAAGGGCTAACTTGCGGGCTTCCATGGTGGTTGAGAGTCCGCCTGCTGATGCAGGGGACACGGGTTCGTGCCCCGGTCCAGGAAGATCCCACATGCCGCGGAGCGGCTGGGCCTGTAAGCCATGGCCGCTGAGCCTGTGCGTCCGGAGCCTGTGCTCCGCAACGGGAGAGGCCACAGCCGTGAGAGGCCCGCGTACCGCAAAAAAAAAAAAAAGGGGCTAACTTGCTCATCTATAATTGAGGGTACTGGGTTCAGAAGATAACTTCCAGAACAAAGATAAGTGAAGTCATGTAGAAAGCAGGGAAAGGGAAAACAGTGACCAGGTTTCACAGTGAGGGCTTCTAGACTTAATGAATACAACCTATCTGCACACGGCAATAGAGAAGCTAAAAAAATCCTTAAAATAAAACCTACAGAGCAATATATATGAGTTGGAAAAAAGCTCCTAAATTGTTTCTATTAGGACAGTTACAAGTTCTCTACCTCCCCGAGACCAGTCTTTATACAGAGTATGAATACTGAATTAGTATTGCTTAAATTCATGAAGATTTACTGTACTACCTGGCTCTGTAGTTAAACAAAACATCACTGAGTTACCAGAATGAAAAAATTTAGTTATAGAAAACCAAGGTTAGATAATAGGAGGATGAAAACAGAATTTTACCTGTGTTCTGCCGCTGGAACAGAATAGCCTGGAACAGGATCTTTCGTTCCATAGTATTTTTTAATTAAAGCAATTCCTGCTACTGTATCTGTTCCTTTGAAGTTAACCAAATGAGCAGATGCTCCTATGCCAGCAGTCTGGAAAATAAACCATAAACCAAAATCCAAAAAAAGAAAAAGAAAAGACCCATACTTGAGGTATAGAGCATAGCCCCCAAAGCAATTATCGTCTTCAGTTATTCCTAAAGAGATATTTAACTATTATCAGAGATAATAGTTTCTTATGACAAAGATCCAGTTTTTCCTAAATATTTAAGGATTCAACTGTTACCTCCTCAAAGAGACCTATTTAATAGCGATCCACCCCCACTTCCCATCACCTCCTTTTCCCTTACTCTGCCTTGGCTTCCCTGTAGCATCATCTGACATCTGCTACTATTTATTTTATCTGTTTATCCATCTGTCCATCCATCCATCCAATACGTAAAGGACAAGGATGTTTACTGAAGGCTGTATTTCAGGTATTTCTAAAATAGGCTAACACATCTTAGGTATTTAATGTATATCTCTGATTGAATCTCTGGAATTTCAAAATGTGGCCTGCTTAGAAGCAAGATCAATCCCAGTAACTTCCCAAAAACTTTACAGTGGTAACCGTAACCTAATCGACAATCCACATTTTATTAATTGAAGTTCACTTCAGTTTCTTACCTCTTGGGAAGAGACTCCTCTGTAGCCAAAATCATGTAACTTGTACTCCAGACCATCTAAGTTACCAGACGTTTCTAACAAATATTTGGCCAATATTTTCTTCTGCTCTCTAGAATTTGTGGCCACTGTGATTGGATACCAGGACTGAACAAGAATAGTCTGTAGTAATAAAATCAACCACAAACATTAATACATAAAAAATTGGGTTCTTTCTGAGGAAAATCCTAGCTTTCTCTGGAGGTATGTCCTGGACTTCCATACTACTAGAAATACCAATTGGACATTTCAACTGTATGGCAGGACGCCTACCACATGCATTTCAGATACAGTGCCGAGCTCAGCTCTCAAATCCGCAACACAGAGTATAAGCAAACTCGGTCCTTAACAGTAAAGAATGTCAAATTACCTATTTTCCATCCAAAGCTCCAAAGAAGCAAATAATATTTGGAAAGACTATCTGTGATGAAGGACCAATGTATTTTTTTATTTTCAATCTATTGTGGACCAATAGTTTTATAAAATATACTCACACTTGGATGTTGAGGCAATTGCCATCAAAGTTTCTAAACGCTTATCCTTGATTTCCGTATTTAATGTGGACCTGCATCAAACAGTTCATGGACCAGCACTGGTCTTAATAGTCTACATCTTAAATAGTCTACATCTAAATAAGTTATTTATTTACTCCTCTAGGTAGTACTGGATCTAATTTTTCCTCGGATCTAACATGACTACTGGTAGGTTATGTACTTGAGGTATTTTTGTGTAGCACTAGACAATTCTATTCATTGAGCTATGCTTTATGTCCCTGGCTTTTATCAAAAGTCATTATAAGAGAGCCACATGAAACATTTCTGCATATGCTATAAACTTGTGAGGTCGCTGTCTATTTTGTAACTCAGTTCCTATTAACACAGGTTCCCAAGTGAGGAAATGAAAGAAGTGCTGGGTTCCTACTTTCTGCTAAGAACTGTCCCTTGCTTTCCCTTTTTTCCTTGGCTGCCAGGAAACTCCAAAGAAAGTCTGATGCTTAATCACAGAAACTATACTAATTATTATAGCTTAGGAATTCACTCCTCCATTCTAGGATCGTAATTTTCTATCTTTTATTTTGTAAACCAGATAGTCTGCTATTACAAGCAGCTTCAAATTTGTTTTAGAAAGAGCTGCTAAGCTGACAACAACATCTGTGCTCACTCAAAAAGCTATTTACTTCCTTAATTAAATTTTACAAAACAATCTTTTGCTGAATACCAGCTAAGTGACCAATAAATAAAATAAGTAAAAACAAACAAAAAGATTATTTAACCTTGGACTTCCCAACTCAGTCACCTAAGAAAAACTGCAGCATTGGATTCCTATGATTGATTAACTATGGCTCCAAATTCTTTGCAGCTCCTCCCATCAAGAGATGGAATCTATCTCTTCATCCCTTGATTCCAAGCTGTCCTTTTGATTTGCCTTTGACCAACAGAATGTAGTAGAAGCCATATTTATGACTTCCAAGCTTCTGTTTCAAGAGGTTTTATAGCTTCTACTCTCATTTTCTTAGAACCTCGAGACTGCTGTGTTATAAAGAAGCCTAAGTCATGAAAAGAGGTCCAGCAGTCCCAGTTGAGGGACTGAGGCCCAGACATGGGAGTGAGCTGAGGCCCAGACATGGGAGTGAGGCCATTTCAGACTGTTTTATCCGAGCTGAACCCTCAGCTGAACGCAGACTCATATAAGTCCAAGCAAGACCAGCAGACAACCATCCAGTCAACCACAGAATCATGAGAAATAGCAGTTGTTTTATTTTGGGGTAGTTTGTTACATAACAGTAGAAAACTGACGCAACTCCTAACTTGAACTCTATGACAAATCACCTCTGTCTAAGCATTCTGCTCCTGAAATTATTCTTTCGTAATTGCAGTGATTCCACTGCCAGTGCCCATGATTATCCTGCTTCTCTAATCTTTAGCTTCTCTGACTTACTCTTTATACTGCACTGGTTATCCTTCTAAAGTTAAGAGTTTTATTCAGGTTTTGCCATTCCTTAAAATCCTTTAATGGCTATCTATTGTCCACAGAGGAAGACAGCCAATTCGTGTTGAAATTTGAGGGCTTTTACAAACTTGCCTTGTTTACCATCTAAAGATTTATCCCTTATGGTATTTTCCACTTTTATGCTATAGTCTCCCTTGGGCTACTTGCCATTCTAAGAATACCTCACCTTTTCCTGTCCCTTATTAAAAGCTTATTTTCCACTTCATGATATCTTAGACAGAATTCCCTATTTTTGCTACCAATTCAGCATTCTTACTTGTATTAGTGGTTAGTTAAGAATAAATTGCTCCTCCTCCAAAGGCCCTTAAGTAAGACATAACTTACTCTAATTTCTGTGCCCAGCAATTTTTGGGTATATAACTGTAATCAATACTCATTTGCTGAAGTTAATTCAATCAACTCTCACATTTTTAATTTAACTTAGACTGATATTATCTAGGAGTATGAGAAAGATAGAAAACATAATGTGAAAAACTCTAGTTGAGTTATAAAGGTAGAAGATTGACCTTACCCCTCGAAAAATGCCAGGGAAGGAGAGAAATAACTATGAGACACAGTGATCCTTCACATCACCATTTCCTTTTCATAGTCCAACAAAATCAGCTTAAATTATACTCTTAATAAAATCACTCCCCTTTAAAAAAGATCACTGTAGGTGTAAGCAAGGGAAAAAAAGGCAAGTTAGTTTGGGTTAATTCAAGGTCTAACAAAGTGGCCTTGTTGGAAACTTCTGCAAAACAGCAATTTGCCCACACAAATCAAGATAAAATTTTTAGCTGAAAACTAAGACTAAAGTAAATGAACCTGCAAGTTTTATTTAAGAAGTGTTCATTATAACGTTACTGTCCAGGATAAGGAATTTTAAAGAATAAGAAATGGTGTGGTGTAGTCGAAAGGGGACTGGACCTACACTGTTAACTAGCCTGTTCACCTCTCAGGGCTCAATTTCCTCATCTGTGAAATGAGGGCATTTGATCAATGTAATACTTTTAAAGTCTTCTTTTTAACAGCAAAAAGGTATTGTTTTGTTTTTTTGGTTGGAAGAAATGGTTAAGTTTAGCCCAATATGTTCATTCTTCAGCCCCTCACAAGTCTGAGACACCTCTGAAGAACACTTAGACTCTCTTAAACATGTTTTAAAATCTGATTTGAGGGCTAAGGTTTCTTCTAGCACCGATACTGAAATTGATAAAGCAATTCAATAATTTTAGTGGATTTTAAAATTCAGTGTACAGTGAATCAAAGAATGTTATTAATAACTTTGCACCGGGAATTCCTTGGCGGTCCAGTGATTAGGACTCAGCGCTTTCACTGCCCGGGTTCAATCCCTGGTCAAGGAACTAAGATGCAACAAGCTGCGCAGTGTGGCCAAAAAAACCCACAAAAAAACACCACACACACACACACACACACACACACACACACACACACACACACACTTTACACATACTGGCAAAGGGAACTGGAAGGAATACTACTTAGTACTGTTATTTAAAATGTTTTAAATCAAGGATTTCCTGAAGAAAATCCCAAGTTTTTAAATAACAAGTTTGTTGGATTTGGTAACAGATTCCATTTATGAGGTGGTAAACTTGGGCTGGAGATGGATAAGAGGAAGATGAACCTCCTCTAACCCCACACAGAAACCCATGAAAGAGGCAAAGTGACTCTGAGAAAGCGGCTTCTGGAGACTCGGTATTTAGATTACACACAGTTTTTTATAAAACATAGGATCTATCACAAAGGGATTGTTTCAGAACATACATTTTTGTGCCTTAGATAAAAATACCTACCAAGGAATGAAATTATTTAAATAATATACATTAGAATAGGAGGTAAACTCAATAAGCAAATGAAAACAGGGAATTTTTTTTCTTCAAAATCTAACAGCCTCTTATTGGATTTTATGTTTAATAATTTTTAAACTAAAAATATTTTTATATTTGCTAACAAACTGCTGTTAAGATGGCCGTATATAAACTTTTTTACTTTACGGTTTTTTTATAGTGAAATACACCAAAATAACGATTATTAAAACAGGTAGTTAAAAAAAAACTTTTTTTAAGGCTAGTGTTTTTCACTTTCTTAAGAGGATAAAGTAAAACATACATGAAAAGCAAGGCAGACTTGGAACTAGTTCTCTGCTGAACATCTGCTTTATGAAACTCCAGTTCAACACAGGGGAAGAGTACTTATTGACTAAATCCTCAATCAGAAAACTAAAAAGAAAAAAAAGTGAAGCAAGGTGATTCACAAATGATGATTTTCAAAATAAGATTTATCTGTGTGGGACCTTTTGGCACTGAGCGTAAAGGATACACTAGATGATGCGGTTCAGAGCTCTTCTACTCTTTATAATGCCTTCCCCTCAAAATAAAACATCTGCCAGTAAGATAGCATGAGAACTGTTAATAATATGTTTCCTTTTACTCTGAGTTCATGAGTTAATTCAAAGTTTTAAGACATAGAAGTAAACTATTTTAAATCTTTACTTTAGTTAATTGTTCACTGTTTCAGAGCCTGTTAGGCTATTATAAATTGATGGCCCACCCAGAGTCTAAAAAGAAAGTTCCTGTCGACTTAGCAAAAATGTATTTCAAAAATATTCCTGACCTCTTACTTTTTCTAAACTTTTTCCAGTCTTTATAAATGAACCTCAAATGTATTATTTTATAATAGAACAAATTAGTTTAACCAATACATTAATAAGACAAAAAGTACCAAGCACTAAGTAAACACCTCTCAGATAGTGGGGTGACATTATTCTACGGTTACTTCCTAGGATATTTCTTCTTATAGATAAAAATCTAAGCTATTGATAATCTAATTAGATTATTAATATCAAAGCGATGAGGCTGTGAAAACATGATTGCTTAAGTACAGATACCAGGAAAGCAAACAAAGCCCTGTAATATAAACTCACAGCCTATAATGTACTCTCCTTTTGAGATTAGAAATTAAAACCATCAGTGAATCTTGAATATATTTAAATGAGAAATACCAGGTGGTAGAGTCTAGGCCCTAAACTGATTAGGTAAGAATAAAGAAAACAGTTACTAAGAAGCTGAACAAAATTCTTTTAGTCTAACTGGAACAGAACAGCCATAAAATGTCTTAAGTTACTAAAAATACACCTGTGCTGTTTTTGTAATCTTTCTCTATGATGGTATATATTTAGGATTGCAACAAATAAGATGGAGGCCAACTGAGCTTTAACAGTAATAATTCTTTACAATTTGATTTTAAGATCTCAGAAGACTAGATTTTACTGGAAGGAAACTTAAAGATTATTTAGTCCAACTGTCATTTTATAGGTGAGGAAATTGAGGCCTGGAAAGGTTTAGTAAATTTTAGGAGGTTACATAACTTTATTGGTAGCATTTTTTAAACTAGAATCCCAGTTGAATGGTTTTTACATCTACAATTAATGTTAAGTAAACGTGAAAAGCAAAACAAAACAAAACAATTCACCTCAATCCAATTTGTAAGCCAGTAACACTCTGGATCTGTGTTTTCCACTGTGAAGAGAACATTTCCTCTGGGAATGACAGAGCCCTCAGGAACAGCTTTTACTTCTATCGGAAGATGCCCATCATATTTCTGGTAAGAGACAATAATGAAATTATTAATTCAGCAGGTGGTATGCCATTACCTGTTTAAATAAGGTTCTTTATATTTTACAGAAGCTAAACTTACTGTCATAGAAATTACAATTGTAGATCTTATTATATTGCTAGTAATCTGGTCAGAATATCCTTATCCTCCTGAAATAAAATTAGCTAAAATGATTAACAGTTTAGTACTAGCATTAATTTTTAAATTTTATGCTGTAAAAGTACTTCTGCTAAGAAAATTTGTCACTTGAAGAGAATTTCAAACTGATTTCAAAACAAAAAAGTTGTTTTCCTATTCCTTCCAAAAAAAGAGTTTATTCCAACATATTCTAAGAGGACTATCTCTCTTCTAAGTAGGTCATTTTCATAAAAGAAAGGCTAAAGACTGAAAGATAAAATAATGGACTGCTATTAGAGAGCACAACAAAATGAACAAACAAATAAGAAAAAGAGAGCACTCCTTGCCAGTACAAGAATCTTAAATAGGTTTTCTCTATACTGGTAGTAGACCTGATACCATTTTGGTAGTAGACAGACCAATCATAAGTATACTTTCTAGAGCTTTGGCAGTCAATATCCAAGTGCAACAATTCTCTGCCAAATTAGGCTGAGGATATAGCGGCTACATGGTATGTTACTAGATATTTAATTACGCCTCCCCCTTTTTAAAGTTAAAAGCTGTGGCTAACTTTTGGCTAGTAAGGTTTATTTCTGTGATTTGGGACAAGGTAACTAGATTAAAAAAAAATCATGTTACAGCAGAAAGAATAATGCCTTAAAATCCTAGCTTGGATGCAAAAGCAGGTAGGAAACTGTGGGCAAGTCATTTAGAATCGCAAGGTCTCAGACTCCATGCTTGTAAAAGGGGTTACACAAGATTATCTCTAGGGAATCTATGAATCCCTAAGATTCTCTGAATATAAAATAAAAAGGTTTACCACCCTGACCACTGAGAATTCTATTACTAAGCACAGCACTTAACTTACCTATAACTATAATCCTCACAACAAACCAAATGGGTTAAGTGTCAACCAAATGAGTTAGCCAACATAATCAAAATATGTTAGCCAACATATTTTACTGACCTTACTCAAGATACGGGAAAACTAGCAGCGTGCTTACTCAACTTCTTCAAAGACCAGTAATTACCAAACAGTAAAATTCAATATTACGATACAGGCAGGAAAGTTAAAGTATTTCTAATTACTTTGTGTTTGATAGTTTACAATGAAAAAGACATTCATTTTAAAGATAATGAACACTTAACACAGCAAGATGCCAATAGATCCCATTCCCAACCTATCTTTGTAACAGAGAAAACCACCAGGGGACATTCAACACTTATGACTCAATTCCCATGTCTTTGGATGCCCAAAAGTTTAAGCAAGGAATCCAAACATGTTAGGTAGGAATATTACAGTACAATAAAGAATGAAAATTAACTTCATAGATTTGCACCAAACCATTCTTCTAACTATTCAGTAAGGGAAATGTCCTAGAAGTATTGCATAGAGACAGACTCACAGCATCTATTTTCTTAGATAATGTACAGTCCAGAAAATAGGCTTAAATTTTCAAATTGCCAAATAATCATGCTCTTTCTTAATTATAATGTATTTTCAAAGAAAGGATTAAATTACCTTTCTGAAAAATGTTATTTAAATTGTAATACATATTACAACAAATTACTTAGATATGCTATAGATTTTAGATACTAATGATGTGTTACCAGGAAAAAAAAATTAAACATTAACTTTTCACAAGAATGTCTAAATAGCCATCATATTTATAGGGTCACAGACAGAAAAGAGTTACAATTACAGGTGACCCTAGTACAATGCTTGTGCTAGAGGCACCCACCCTCCTCTGCACAGTCAAAAATCCATGTACAACTTATGGTCAGCCCTCTGTAACTGTGGTTCCTCTGCATCTGTGATTTTGCATCTGCGGATTCAACCAACTGCAGATTGTGTAGTACTGCAGTATCTACTACTGAAAAAACTCCACATGTACATGGACCCATGCAATTCAAACCTGTGTTGTTCAAGGTTTGAATACCTGTGTTGTGTACAGTCTAATCTTCTATTCAAATTCCATGGCAAGAAATTCTGAACTAAAAGCAAAACCAAAATACATAGGTCAAAACATGAAACCATTTTTTACCTCAAGAATGTAGTTCCATCCCTTTTCATTAAAGACATCGTCTTGGAAATGCTCTTTGTACACCTCTTTGGCTTCCTGGATCTTCTCTTTGGTCACTACTTTACCTAAAAAAATAAACATCTCCTGTTTACATTTCTAAAGGCATGCTGTGAGTTGCTGAGTTGTCATAGGATTAATGTCTCTAGCTATTTCGCCCATTCTGTGGATTAAAAAAACAAGAACTGAGGTTAAATGATTCACCCAGAGTCAACAGCAGAGTCAGAAAAGGAATTTGCACTTCTAACCACTCGCTCTAAGCATAAATGTTAATTTCTTATTTGAAAAGCAAATTTGCAATAGAAGAGATTATTACATGTATAGTATTTTTAAAAAATCACAGTAATAAATTAACTTTTGGGAGATTTTTTAAAAATCTCTATTAATTTATACAGTCTTCAGATTTGAGAGTAAGCCTTTGATAGCTGGCTTTCCAGGTGAATCTGCTCACTTTATTCATAAAGGATGTCTTTGGGGCTGATAATCCAATAATTTTTACAATGCCTAAGTTTCTGCCCCCCAAATATACTTTTAGCTAACTTTATCTGTAAAATGAAGATAATAGTAGAGTACCTACTTTTAGAGTGGTTGTGAGGACGAAATGAGTTAAGACATCTGAATTAAAGCACTTAGAATAATGCTGGCCTATAACACACAATATATTTTAGCTGTAATTAATAACATTTTATAAAGTTTTTAAGCTGTAGAAAATTGAAGTGTGACATTAGTCTTTGGTAACTTTCTCTAAATAAGATCGCTAGTAAATTCATTTAAAATATCTTGGGTAATCTTGTTGCAATGAAGTACTTTGGATATCCAAGTAGGTTTTCAATAGTATAACATATCTGAACTATCTGATCTTAGAATTGCCAAGGTTACAGAAAAACGTCATCATCTGCATAAAATTCAAGTTATTCTGTATTCAATTCTGAGATTACTTTTATGTGGAAAGGTTAGAAATGAAATTTTCCAAAATGTATAAAAAACTTGGGCACTGTTTCCCCCCTCCAAATACCATTACAAAATAAGACTAGAAATGGACTTTCAAATAAGAAAGCACAGAAATTATTTCAGGGATTTTTTTCTTCTTTAAAATGCATTTGAGGGACTTCCCTAGTGGTCCAGTGGTTAAGACTCTGCCTTCCAATGCAGGATGCAAGGGTTCGATCCCTGGTCTGGGAACTTAAGATCCCACATGCCGTGGGGTGTGGCCAAAAACTTAAAAAAAAAATGCATTTGAGACTAAGTCCACCGTTACAGGTAGTTTTGAAAAATAGGCCTTTAAGGTAAAACTGACTAGCAAAACATATTCTAATTATAATTGCTACCACAATTCAAAATGAGTTCCCAGGTCAGTAACAAATCCTTTATTTTGAATTAATGACTAACGTCTATTAACAAACCAGATTAGCCTCAGAAAATTATTCACTTTTCTAAATTTATTCCCAATCTTACTAGTTTCAGAAAATCTTTGTCATATTTAGAACACCAAGCACATAAGTCAAATTATAAAATTTAATGCTTTCAAATTAACAGATTTCTAAAAATTCCAAAACAACCCCTAAAATAGTTAGGGTAATTAAATAAACATCAAACTAGGACTTCCCTGATGGCGCAGTGCTTAAGAACCCGCCTGCCAAGGCAGGGGACATGGGTTCAAGCCCCGGACCGGGAAGATCCCACATGCCGCGGAGCAACGAAGCCCGTGAGCCACAACTACTGAGCCTGCGCTCTAGAGCCCGTGAGCCACAACTACTGAAGCCCGCGCGCCTAGAGCCCGTGCTCCACAACAAGAGAAGTCACCGCAATGAGAAGCCCGCGCACCGCAACGAAGAGTAGCCCCCACTCGCCGCAACTAGAGAAAGCCCGCGTGCAGCAATGAAGACCTGATGCAGCCAAAAATAAATTTAAAAAAAAATCAAAATTAGACTATTCAAAAAGGTACTTAAAATAATACAACAATATAGGAGGAAAACTATGATGAGGTATATAAAAGCAGTGTTTTAAACATATTAGGAAAAACAATACCTTTTAAGTACTTATTAAGAATGTACTGCAACCCATAAAATACTGTTTCCTCATATTTCACCTTCCTTATTTTGGAGTTTTCTGTCTTCTTTTCACGGCATTCAAAGTAGGAATAAACTTTGCTTGTATTGGGTGGGTACTGTTTATAGTGAGTAACCTATATGAAAGAGAAAATACCTGAATTAGAAAATACCAGAAGAATAGAATGTGAATTATGATAAAAAGAGCTTGAAATTATTTAAAACCAGAGAAACTATAGCAGAAATGCAAATCAATAAATTGTTATTTTATAAATAGTTCCTGCATTCACAAATATATAGTCTGTACCAACTGTGTATCAGGCCCTGCTTCAGATGCTGAGGATGGGGAAGTAAAACAGACCGACTAGTCCTTCCTCCCATAGGGCTAGGGAGGGCTGAGAGATCATAAACAAAATAATTTGAGCTAGATGGATGCTATGAAAAATTAAAAGAAAATGATGGACTAGAAGGGGCCTGGGAGACTAAAGAGGAGGCCAAGAAGGCTTCTCTGAGATAGTAACATGTGAACAAGATTTACTGACGAGGAAATAGGAAATATCTTGACTTCAGGGACGGAAGAGAATGAAGACCACTGTGGTTGGTGCTTAGAGAATGGGGAGCGGCACATGGTAAGGTCAGAGAGAGAGAGATGCACAGACAAGATCATGTAAGGCTCACAGGCTACCAAGGAGCCTGAATTTTACCTGAAGTGCAGTGGGAAGCCATTAGCATGCTTTAAGCTGGAGTGAATATGATCTGATTCACCTCTGACAAGGATCAGCTTGGCAGAGATGGAGAATGGATTATGGGGTGACCAGAGTGGACACAGAGCATTAAGAGGCTACTGCCAAAGACTAGGTTAGGTGAGAGACTGGCTCAGTATCTGTGGAGAAGTAGGCTGATAGATTAGATTTGGGAATAAAGAGGGGAAGGAATTAAGGATGTCTCCTAGATTTTTGGCTTGACAACTGAGTGAATAATGGTGCCATTTACTGAGATGGGGAAAGCCATTGGAAGGACTGGGTAAGGAAATCAAGAGCTTAGTTTTAAATATGTTAAGTAAACACTAACAAAAAGTTTCATAATATTCAAAATTAAAGTGACCTGCCAAAAGGGAGCCCTTAAATCATGTTGTTTTTCAGCACTGCTTTGACTTACATTACTAGAGGAAAAGAGCTGTACAATAAATTTAAAATTACTTATAAGATGAAGAGAAAAAAAACAAATTTCTCATAATATCCTCAGCAAACATTACCCCTAAAAATGTTTCCTCAAGTGGCATAGCCTTCCTGCAACTAACAGAGTACTGCCAGTACTTAAATATATGTGTGGTAAAGAACAGAGGCACACAGGAAAATGTAGCTCTTCTAATAAAACTTAGTTTCACAGTTAGTTATGTGGTTGATTTACTTCATGAAAAAATAAGCTTCTAAAAACTGCAATCCCAGATATCCCTGTATAACAGTTCAAGAGAGGTATGAGAAATATTTAAGTTGCATAGAATCTTTCTGTGACAGCGAAGTATAATTTTCTCCTGAGCTTCTCGGGATTTCCCATAAGGGTGACGTGATATATTTCCAAGAGCTTTCCTCCCACAATGGGATCACACGACCAAAGGCAACTACTACTAACCACCTTTTACAGTTAATCACTAAGAAATAATCACAAGCCAACATTTTAACAGCACCATGTGTATGGAAGAGCACGTGGAATAACAGACTCAAAGTCACAAACTAAGCTATGTTACCTATGTAATATCTAAGGGCACTCATAAGAGGAACTTCCATTGGCTAAGACTCTCTGCCTCTTCAAAGGTGATGTGCCAGAAACAGCAAAAATCATAACTGATTCTTTCTTCTTTTCAATATTATTCAAGATTTGTCAAGCCCTGGACTTCTGTTGCCCCAGAAAATAATTCATTGCTATTTGGCTTTTGAAGTAGTAACTTCAAAATACAACTTAAGGATTTTTGGATTACATTATTTTGGTGAAGGTGATAAATTGTAAAACCAGCCATTATCATTATGCTGCCTCTTCCCTTAAATCGGGCAGAGTTCCTGGCAACTTATACCTTTTTTTTTGCCGCAGCTTTAAGAGAGATTTCATACTGACAAAAAGGATACCAGTTTCTGGTATTTTTGTTTTGCAAGATACTCTACAATCATTACTGACCTAATCCAATCTTCCTAGGAGGTATGTTCATGATTTACATGCAGGATTTTATTTCTGTTGCTTGAGTTTTTCCTATAATTTATAATATAAAACTTACTGGAAAAACTCTATCCTAAGAATGAACAGGTACTCTCTGACATACAAACTGCAGCAGGACCACGTGTCTCACAAGGCTTAGGCTGCTGCTGTGACCATACTTAAGTGCCTGTTCAGAAGCGGTGAAAGAGAAGCAACTATGAAAAACAGGAACAGCTCAGAGGAAGACACTGCGTAGCTAAAAGTCCAAGGCAGGACTAACTTGCCCATAAGATTCTCATCTATCCCCAAATCTTTTCCTCCAAAAAGCCCCAAATTAAGATTTGTTATTCCGCTACTAATGAGGAAGCAAGCTCTTCTTTAAAAAAAGCTAACTTGGGTGCTTAATCATCATACATGAATTATACAGCCTCTTATAACTTTTCTAAAATCAACTTTCACCCATCTTAGATTGTAAGGGACATCTTTCGTATTTTATAATATGTAGTAGGTCTCCAATATTTATTAAATTAATGCATGAAAATGTGCTGAGTTCTAGATAACCATTTTTAAATGACCTTTTGAGAAGCAACCCACACTGGACGGCACATTCCATAACTAACATGTGATGTGGTTTAAACTGTAAATTGCTTAGGGATTACTTTCTTGTGCTATACATTATCTTTTCCAACTAGGGCTCAATTGACAACATCATCCATTTTAATCTGCTAACAGGTAAAATGTTCAGAAATGTTTAAATGATTCTCTGCTGTAGTTTGTTACAAACATTATCTACATAGAAGGGGAAGGAAGAATGGAACAGAAATGAATCTTTTAATGATCCGGTTATTCAGAAACTGATCAATGGCTATCCCAGAAATAACTGAAAAAAATGACCTGTCTCTTTTACAAAAAAACGTTCCAAATGCTTTTTAAGCACTGCAATGGCTAAGGCCAGCCCAAACGCACCTTTCTCTAGCTGGCTTAGCACAATGTAGATATAACACAGTAGATAATTTTACTTTAAACCATTTTGAAAACATAAATGGTTAACACTTAAGATTAAGTGTCCTTTTCATTTGTAACAAGAACCCAGGATAAAAATAGAAGAAACAACCACATTCACCTATTTCCTTAGTTCATCAATATGTATAATAAAGTATGAGATTACAGAAATGAGTATGTATCTTAAATGCCTCTCCTTTGGCCCAAATTGTCCTGATCCCTCTGGAAAGGATACAAGTGAAAACAAAATTCCCACATGTTGTCATGCACTTGGACACTATCCCATCTACTTGCAAAACACCTTTCTCTAGTGCCTAGACAGCCAATTATCCTTGCTTCAGTTCTAGAAAAAATAAATCAACAATATCCTGCTCTCTTCCACCAATACATCTAAAGCTGTTAGCTCCCTACTTTAACTGGCCAACAGTATGCAAGTACTGATAAGGATATGCATGTAACATTCTCATGTAATTTCCTAATAAAAGTGTAATTTCACTACTTCTAGACTCAAGATTACCATTTCTGTCTCCTCTTCATCTAAGAAGATAAAAAGCCGAAAATACTGAAGAGGCTATAAGGACCACTAAAAGTGTAAGGAAAATGAAACTTAAACGACTAAATTGTGAGTGTGCAATACACTACTTATTTTACTGTACTGCTGTAAACCACTGGTATAAAACATATCATCCTGACTGAATCCTCTTGAGGGTTTTTTTGTGGGGAAGGGGGGGAAATGAAATATCTTACGCAGGTGATAATCTTCTTAAAAGGTTTTATATTCGAAATGGGATAAAATACACCAGTCTGACCTGAAAATGTACAGGAATAAACTTTACTAAATAGATGCAAATTCTGATAGTGTTGTTAAGTATGCCTTGCTAGCAAATTAGAAAACTTTAAGGTAACCACTCTTACCTTTCATCCCAGGAAATTGATGTTAAAGCAATTTACATTCCTTATATATAATGGCTAGAGGAACTACAAACGAAAGAAGCTTGCACACTGTTTTGTAATGTTTAAACCATTTTGAAAATATAAATGGTTAACACTTAAGTGTCCTTTTCATTTATAACAAGAACCCAGGATAAATACAGAAGAAACAACCACATTTACCTATTTCCTTAGTTCATCATTATGTATAATAAAGTATGAGATTACAGAAATGAATATCTATTTATTTAAATTTATTTATCGTATTTATTTATTTTTGGCTGTGTTGGGCCTTCGTTGCGGTGCGCGGGCTTCTTATTGCGGTGGCTTCTCTTGCTGCAGAGCACGGGCTCCAGGCGCACGGGCTTCAGCCGCCATGGCTCGTGGGCTCTAGAGTGCAGACTCAGTAGTCGCGGCCCATGGGATTAGTTGCTCCGCTGCACGTGGGATCTTCCCGGACCAGGGCTCGAACCCATGTCCCCTGCATTGGCAGGCGGATTCTTAACCACTGTGCCACCAGGGAAGCCCTGAATATATACTTTAAACGTCTGTTTTGTTTTTTTTAAAAGTTGGACCAATCAACCTCCGTTTATATTTCCCATTTTCAATAAAATAAGTTACTACATTAAAAAATCTGAAAATTATTTTAAAGATTTAGTTAAGGATAAAGTTCTAGAAAACTATGCATGAGACCATTCTAAAATCACTGTTAAAAATAGTCAAAACACTATAATTGAACTAAGAGACCACAAGAGGAGCACAAGTAAAAATACCCTTGATAGCACTATGATATCCTTGCAATTGTGTAGATTTCCACTTTAAAATTCCATTTAAAAGACCACTTGTTAAAGAAACTTGGTTCTACTTTAAACAATAACCCACCTAAATTATCATAAGTAGAATCTTAAACCAGCTGGGAAGGAAAGTTCAACAGAGAACTTAAGTAAAATGGGATTCTCCAAAATACTTTATTGGAATATTTAAGAAAAAACAAAAAGCAACAAAAACCGCAACAAAAACCAAAATCTGAAAACATTATGCTTTAATCACTATATTCCAAACTACCATGCTGCTCAAGTAAAAACGAAAATTTATTCTGCGAAAGTGGAGTTTCCAGTCTGACATGTCATCTTTTAGGTGTCCTGGCTAACAAAGCTTGTTAGCAAAGTATAATCCAGTTTATTTCATATAATTTGGAAACTAGGGGAAATGATATTTGCCGGATTTCTCTTTAATCACTCTTCCCTTTACTAATGTGTGAGTTTCAAATAAAATTGACGGGTCAGCTATACATGCAAGCGTCCAATAGCCATAGTAAGAGAATGTTGTGTCGCTTCTCTCTCAACAAGTTCTCCAAGGTTAACTACAGTTCCTTTAACACCTCGTGTTTCACTTTCCTTTTCACAGAAACCTCACAGGGATCCTAATGGAATAAGGACAGATCGGCCTTTCCAAGAAGAGGTACGGAGCGTGAGTGATCACCAGGAGCAAGGGAGTCTGAAACGGAGCCCAGTGGAGTGGGACGGGGGACCCAGCCGGGCCACAGGCACAGGAACGTGGCTGGCTGCTCTGGCACCCCTACTAGGACTTCGCCCACCCGTTCCTCGGGAAGGGGCGTACCTGCCGGCTAAGGCGTGAGCGCGCTCGACTCAGCTCCGCGGGGGAAACCCCACTTCTCAAACCCGGCTCAGTCTTTCCACCGTGGAACCCCAGGGGCCGTTACCTAACTGACCCGCTCCTCGGGCGAGCCCTCGCTCAGCCCGGCCCGGGGCCAAAAGGCCGTGCTCCTGCGGAAGGCGTGAGCTCGGCCGGTGACGCCCCAGCCACCCCGGCCGCCGGCCCGCTGAGCCGAGCTGAGCCGCCCCGAGCCCCGGGCAGCAGGCGAGCGGCACCAGCTCGGGCCCGCCTCAGCCCCTCGCCGCGCCCCCCCCAACCACGCACCCCCAGGCCCCGCCTCCTGCCGTCTATCCCTCCATCCCTCCTCCATCCGCCTCCTCCCCACTGCGGCGCCAGCCTCACCTGCCCCTAGTCGCCGCCGCCGCCGCGCCTTCCCTCGGGGCCGCCTCGCTCCACGACCCCAGCCCGGCCGCCCCTGCCCCGCAGCCTCGCGCTGGTCCCCGACGCGCCCTCTCTTCCTCCGTCACCTGCCCCCGCCCCGAGCTTCTACCTTGTACGAGTCGGTGGCCATGAGGATGTTGAACTCGGCTTCTGCCGCAGCATTCATCTCGGGCCGGAGTGTAGGGGCCGCGCGCCGCGGGCTGCCCGGCGCGGCTGCGAGGAAGGAGAAAAATGGGCTTCACCGCGCTCCGTTGCTTAAGTCACCGCTCTGTCGGAGAGGGAGGGTGAGAGGAGGGGGAAACGGAGCCGGGAGGAGGGACCAGAGGAGGGCAGGCCTGGGAGCCGTGACGCGGCGGGGGAGGCGGCGCGCGCGCTCGCAGTCTAGGGACTCCGGCGGCCTCCTCACCCCGACTCCCCGCCCCCGCCCCATCGCCCTGGCGGGGACGCGAGGGGCGGGGCGCGGCCGCGCGTGCGCAGCGCGCAGGGGGCGGGGCGGGTAGGACGTGAGGCACGCTCCCTTCTCGGAGACGCCCATCCCGGGAAGCCTGAGGCTGCGAGGCCGCCCCGGCCCTTGACCCGGGCGCCGGCTTGGCTTTCGTTTCCCTGCCCGGCGCAGTGGGGCGGGGCCGAGAGGGGGCGTTCCCAGCCTCGCCACCTCTGCGATTAGCCGGTTCGCCCGCCCCGCTGGCACCTTCCTATCCTACCCAGTCCTGGCCCGTTTTCTGAGTCCTCTTGAAGTCACGCCACCCGGCTAGGGGCCAAGGAGCCTCCCTCTGCCCGTCTCTCCGTCCCCCTCGCGCACGTACTCACCTTTGTCTCTGGCTCGGATTAAGGATCGAGCCTTTTGCCTCCATCCCTCGTGTCCCTCCTGGTCCTCCTAACCCTCGCTTTAAAATCTGAAGAGCGGCGGTGAGGAATAGGTCTGGGGGTCCCCTTTAATCTGACGCATCGACTCCGCTTTCCTCCGGCTCTATGGCTGAGCTCTTGATCCTTTGAGGATGCTTAGACTGTCCCCGAGAAAATAGACTGCGCCCAAAGTCGGGGGTTGAATTCAATCCTCACAGATAATCAAAGGACAAGACCTAGTTGAATCTAATATTGCCGAGAAGTAAACGGCAACGAGCCAAGTCTTTGACAGGGTGTGAGACTGACGTTTGTCATCGTTGTAATCGCTCAATCTTGGGAAACGGGTTGGCAACCTGGAAATAAAAAAACGAGTGAAACGACGTCGGATGACTTCAGCCAAATGCGGACCATCTATTTGTGCAGTTCTCATACGTGGTTGCATTTTTGCGTAAAACTAAGATTCCCTTTGTCCCCATGATCAATAGCTGTTTTTTTTTTTTTTTTTTTAAGATTTAGGTTTTACAAGATACAAGTAGCTGGGAAAAAGCGATTTAATGAAAACCAGTACGGGAACTTTACAGATTGTCATTCAAATTAGTGAAAGTCTCATTTTATGGGGGTGGGGGGTCGGGGTGGAGGCTGTGAATTGAGAGTTTCGTTGCCCGAAAACTGACACCGCTTCAATTAAAAGCAACTTCAGTCCAGACAATGTCACGGAGTCAGTACAGATTCCTGACAAATGCCTCCATCTGTAGGTAGATGCAGCACAAGCAAAGATCACAGAAGTAGTGAGATATCCCTAGGCACTCACCAAGGTAGTGAGATATCCCCTAGACACTCACCAAGGTAGTGAAAAATGCTAATGCATTTAGAATTATTTTCAACAACGAGGTTTAAGACAAACGAGGCTTTTTTGGTTGACCTTACGTGTGTTTACTAGGGGAAATTACTTTTAAAACTATTTAAATAATTAAAATATAAAAAATTTTATTAGGGGAGATTCTGTTATATTAGTTTAAGCAGTGCCATTCAAAGAAGAAAAATAATCCTTTTTGCTCCTCTTAATTTGGAGCTTTTTTTCCTTCATTCATTTAAAATTTCTATAACCTACTTTACTTAAATGATAAATGCTTTTTGCTTAGCTTCCTGGAATCCATGTATGTATATAACTGACTATTGTTCTATGCACCTTATGCAGGAAAAAAAAAAAAAAGAATTCTGATTACAAAGAGGGCTCTGTTTATGGTAGCATTTTTTTAAAAAAGCAAAATAAAATTTGAACTGCATTCTTTGAGCTGAAGTTACAGTTTTAAGGTGAAAAGCCTTAATATCAGTGCAAGTAAAAATGTTAATATTACACTGCTTGTTAAACGCAGAAACTCATAAAGCCTGCACCCATATTAGCAACTTAAACCCTCACAGCAGCCTCCAGAGAGGAAAATGAAGTCATGTTACCAATAGAAAATGACCATTTGTCTAAGGTAGAATTAGACACACTCTATATGTAACTACATGGTTAAGCAGGAACAATTTTGAGTTAGTCAGGATTTACAACTATGAAATTATCACCAAATACAAAGTCAAGGTTTCATTTTGAAATGGCCTCCCCGAAGGACAATTTAACAGCTAGCATTTAGTATGTTTATCTAGTAGCATATAAAAGATCTGAGAAACTGTTTCTCATAGGTCCCCGCAACATGACAAATGATGACGAAAACAAAGACTCAAATGGGCCCCCTCACTTTGTTCAAAGTCCTGGATTAATCTGCCACTCCTACCAAACAGCCCGTCAAGCTTGGTGAATTGGGCATCCAGCTCCTTGTCTATCTTCCTCAGAGAGCTATGAAAGGCCTGTGACTCATACATTTGATCAAAGTGGGTTTTCCTGCACCATCCTGTTTCCACACACCCTTCCAGACAGCCTTTGGTACACTTTTGTATTTCAAAGTTGCCTCGGATATTCTAATCAAACCTGAGTTCACCTCAGTAATAACACTGGAGAAGTAGGTGTGGGACTCACCCACCCGGAACGCCTGACAATGGTCCTATCCATTACCCTACATAACTTTCTCTAGCCTAACCAAGGAGCAAAAGCTGTCACGAAGACAAATGTAAAAGAGGAATTTTTAAATTAAACTTGAACCTTTTTCTTATTCAAACTTCCATGGCCCTTTGGGGACACCCCAGAGTTCTAATTTTGTAAGGAAAAGGTCTCATCTACAGAAAGACATGGGTCTTTGTGAATCTGATTATCAGCGCTGCCCACCCCTGACTCAGTTTGCTGGGTCCTCTACAATCACATAGAGATGCACAGAAAACTGCTGAGTCTTAGTCTAAAAGTATAGAAATGATAGAGTAAATGTAACCCACATACAGGAAGAATTAGCACACATACATGGATTGTTCATAGACCTTCCATTACAAAATGTTCTGGTACACTTTCTATGGTCTTGTGGTCTGACTGTGCTACACTCTTCTAACTATTTTCCTGGGCAAAGTAAGGAAAATGTGTACATGTTATGATGCTACGAGTGGGGATTTGGATGTCATAATTACTTATAAATTTTGCTGATGGCCACTTTTAGACTCAATGGCCACAATCAATGACTGAGAGAGTGAGACTGTTAGGACTATAAAAGACTGTCAAGATATTTTCATGCAGCGTTTCCCTAAGAGAGTTTTTATCACTGATGGTAGTATGTGGTACATATCAGTGGTACACAGATATGCATTTTTATTTCAATTATTATGTATTTACTTTATTTTATTTTTTTGTGGTACGCAGGCCTCTCACTGTTGTGGCCTCTCCCGTTGCGGAGCACAGGCTCCGGACGCGCAGGCTCAGCGGCCATGGCTCACGGGCCTAGCCGCTCCACGGCATGTGGGATCTTCCCAGACCAGGGCACGAACCCGTGTCCCCTGCATCGGCAGGCGGACTCTCAACCACTGCGCCACCAGGGAAGCCCTATGTATTTATTTTTAATGAGTTTTAGAAAAATATAACTAGCACACAAAACTCAATTTTTTTCTTGGGAATCATTACTTAGGATGAAGCCAAAGTTGATGGGCACTTGGACTGGTGAACTTTGTTATTTTCCTTGCCTTTCCTAACCTGTCAGCTGCTTTCATATCTTCAACAGAAGACTGGTTTCCTTGAAGAAGCTAAACAGAAAAGGCTACATACTGTATGATCTCATGTATATAAAATTCTAGAAAGGCAAAACTAGTGTGAAAGAAAGTGATTGTCAGAGGCTGAGGCTAAGGGAAGCTGACTGAATGCAAAGGGGCATGAGGAAACTTTTTGGGGTAAAGGAAATGATATGTGTGATAGTGATTACACAACTGGTCACATATGTCAGAATTAATTGAAGTCTATACTTAAAATTGGTGAATTGTGTATATATTATATCTCAAGAAAACTAAAGACTGGTTTTCTTGAAATCATTTAAAATATTTTCCCCCTCTTTTCCCATTCTGTTTTCTTATGTTTCCATTTCCATGTTCCCATTTTACTTTACACGATTTGGAGATAAACACCATTTTGCTCTCCTTAGAGAAAGGATAGTTGTTAGAACAAAAAAATCTTACAATTTGTATGGAAACACAAAAGACCCCAAATAGCCAAAGCAATCTTCAGAAAGAAAAACAGAGCTGGAGGAATCAGGCTCCCTGACTTCAGACTATACTACTGATACAAAGCTATAGTAATCAAAACAGTATGGTACTGGCACAAAAACAGAAATATAATCAATGGAAGAGGAAAGAAAGTCCAGAGATAAACCCATGCACCTATGGTCAACAACTCTATGATGAAGCAGGCAAGAATATACAATGGAGAAAAGACAGTCTCTTCAATAAGTGGTGCTGGGAAAACTGGACAGCTACATGTAAAAGAATGAAATTAGAAAATTCTCTAACACCATACACAAAAATAAACTCAAAATGGATTAAAGACCTAAATGTAAGACCTGATACTATAAGACTCTTACACGAAAACATAGGCAGAACAGTCTCTGACATAAATCGCAGCAAGATCTTTTTTGATCCACCTCCTAGAGTAATGAAAATAAAAAAGTAAACAAATGGCACCTAATTAAACTTGAAAACTTTTGCACAGCAAAGGAAACCATAAACAAAATGAAAAGACAACCCACAATGGGAGAAAATATTTGCAAATGAAGTGATACACAAGGGATTAATCTCCAAAATATTCAAATAGCTCATGCAGCTCAATATTAAAAAAAAACCAAACAACCCAATCAAAAAATGGGTGAAGGATCTAAATAGAAAGTTCTCCAAAGAAGACATACAGATGACCAAAAAGCACATGGAAAGATGCTCAATATCACTAATTACTAGAGAAATGCAAATCAAAACTACAATGAGGTATCATGTTACACCTGTCAGAATGGCCATCATCAAAAAAAAAAAATCAACAGTAAATGCTGGAGAGGGTGTGGAGAAAAGGGAACCCTCCTACACTGTTGGTGGGAATGTAAATTGGTACAATCGCTATGGAGAACAGTAAGGAGGTTCCTCAAAAAACTAAATGTAGAACTACCATATGATCCAGCAGTCCCACTTCTGGGCATATATCATAATTTGAAAAGATACAGGCACCCCAGTGTTCATTGCAGCACTACTTACAATACCCAAGACATGGAAGCAACCTAAATGTCCATGGACAGGGGAGTGGATAAAGAAGATGTGTTTCATGTATACAATGGAACACTACTCAGCTGTAAAAATAATGAAATAATGCCATTTGCAGCAGCATGGATGGACCTAGAGATTGTCATATTGAGTGAAGTCAGACAGAGAAAGATAAACACCATATGATATTGCTTATATGTGGAACCAAAAAAAAGGTACAAATGAACTTATTTAGAAAACAGAAATAGAGTCACAGATGTAGAAAACAAACTTATGATGACCAGGGGGCAAAGGAGGGATAAATTGGGAGATTGGGACTGACATATGCACACTACTATACATAAAATAGATAACTAATAAGGACCTACTGTATAGCACAGGGAACTCTACTCAATACTCTGTAATGACCTATATGGGAAGAGAATCTAAGAAAGAGTAGATATATGTATATGTATAACTGATTCACTTTGCTGTACATCTGAAATTAACAGAACATTGTAAATCAACTATACTCAAAGAAAAATTTAAAAAAAACAAGAAAGGGTAGTTGTGTTGAAGTTGCTGAACATTTATAGAAGCCCAATGTCAAAAGGAGTTTCTTGCTATTGAGTAGGAAGCAGGAAAAGGAATACAATTAAGTTCAATAGGAATATAAAAACACCTAGTATATACACAGTAATGTACAAAGAAGCATGAAGACTTCAAAAAGAAATGTCACATTTGTCCTCTGTTCTTTTCCAAAGCAGCTATGAAGTGACTGGGATCTGGAGTTGGGGGAAATAAAACAATACAGGTAGCTGATTCATAATTCCCAGTATATTCAGCACTGGACTGTAAAATCAAGGTAAAACTGCATATAGATATGACCCTTAAATACAGGAACAACTTGTAAGGAACAATCAAGGCCTGGATAAAGATCAACCACCTTCCACCCAACGTCCACACCCTGGACTTTTTCTCTACCAAGAACTGCTGCACCCGTGAAACTTTACATTGCAGCCTCGCTTTCTCTGGTCCTGCTTTTCTCATTCACTCATTCACTCTCCTCCTGGAACTTTGTTGCTCAGCATTTGGCCATAAGACTTCACTTTCCTCCTTATCTAGACCTAGCCCTGTTCCTTCTAGTGTCAGCATCATCTGTGGCCCCCTTATTTCCTAGTTGGCCCTCAGACCCTTACCTTTTTTGCCCTTAGAGTATCCCGGCTGCTGAGCACCCGTAGGAAACATCACACAGCCATGGATCTGTCATCCACAGCAGGACAATGTGGTGCTGCCTGGCAGTCCTTTTATAACCCCCATTCAGCAGTCTTTCCCATTTTGCTCAGCAGTGTTTTGAAATGTTTACCTCCTTCCTCAAACTCTTTACCCTCAAACAACTGTCTCCCTCTTAGCAGACGATAGAGTCCCCTATGTAAGAAAAACCAAGGTCATCGATAGGAACTCCCTAAACTCCCATAGCTATGAGAGCAGTGGTCTGTCTTTTTCAGAAGTCTATTCTCGGAGCCACGTGTAGTGCAAGGCACACAGCAGGGGCTTAGTAAATATTTACTGGCTGAATGGAGCTATTTCTATCACCAGCAAAAGTAGGATGGACCTTGTGGTAGATTATATCATCTGCCCATGTTCAAACTCCCTCTCTTTGGCATTGTTCACCCGTATTCAAAGTCCCTCTTCCACATCGTCGTGCTATCAAACTCAGGCATGACCACAGGAATTGCTTTAGCCATGAAACGTGGACTGAGCTGATATGCAACACTTCCCTGCAGGAGCTTTAACTCAGGCGTGGTTGCCATTCTCTCTTTTCTTTCTGCCACCAAGACTGCAGGGTTCCAGTTGGGGGCTGAGCCATGATCCTAAATTCTGAAATGTGGGTGACACCGAACCAAATCAGAGCCAACAGGTGCTGGACGTGTAATGTGAGTGAGAATCAACCTTTCTCGTTGTCAACCGTGATGACTTTGGAGGTTGTCACCACAGCATAACTAGGATTATCCTGACAGATATAAGCCTCTACACACGTTTTCTTCTTTCTCCAGGCTCAGGGAAAGATGCCCTTCTCTCTGGCCCGGGCTAATCTCCCTCACCTATGCTCTGGATCCACCTCCTGCCCCTCCCCCCGCCATCTCCTTAGGTCCAAGGCTTTTTAAGTGTTCTGTTCTGCTGAGCCACACCTATGATACATTAGACGCTCGCATAAGAAGTCACTGTTCTAGATTTCCTTTTGTTTCTCCAAGTCGCACCAACCTTGTGGGATAATCAAGAACTTGGGAAACAAACAAAATGGTTTAGTATTTACAGTCTTCTCTTCCCCTTCCAAATTATTACAGCTCCTCCCTTCCCAAGGTTTCAAAGACACTCATTTCAATGCATTGGCCACTCTTGGATTGGGGGTCATTCTCTCTGCTCTTTGCTCTGACGCATGGTAGCCTCTTCTAGCCTGCTTGTCATCTTTCTGCAGCCACATGCCCTGCAGTTGTGCTCATGCAGTGGCTTTGTACTTCTGTAAATGGTAGTGCTGGGTAAGGCTCTTGGCCCACTAGTGATTACAGCTCATAATACACCTTTAAAAAGAATTCTGGCTTTCATTGTCCTCTCATCTCAAATACTTGGGACAACTTTCCAAGGGCTTACATAGAGGGTGTTGGGATGGTACCACCCTGTTTCAATAAACAGACCTCCCCTCACTTTTCTCAGATAGGATACTTTCGGTGCCAGGAGTGACACTATTGCTATTAAAGGTGGCTTAAGGAATAGGGGCTTAATTTCATCTACAACAGGAAGTCTTGGGGTAGGTTTTTCAAGGGTGGGTTCAGTAACTCAAAAATATCGAGATTCCTGGCTCTTTCTTTTTTTCCCCCTCTGTTATCCTCAATATTATTAAAGAAGTGTCTTTGTCACACAAGTCACAAGATGATTGCCACAGCTCCAGGTATCATGACTTCACACAAAAACATGCAGAAGTGAGAAAAGAAAGTGAGGTTTTGTTTCATGTGCACGTCTCTCTTTTTATTAGATGGAAAAATCTTTCCCAGAAGCCCCCAACAGACTTCCCTTGGGCCCTACTGCCCAGAGTTGGATGTATGCCCACACCCTAGATACAAGGGAGAATGCAAAGGTGAGAATGTTGGCATATTCAGTTTCTGGAATAGGAGGAAAGCTCCACCGTCAAGGAAGAAGGGGGTTAGAAATGGAACTATCAATACCATATGACCCAGCAATCACACTCCTGGGCATATATCCAGAGAAAACCATAATTCGAAAAGACACATGCACCCCAAGGTTCATAGCAGCACTATTTACAATAGCCAAGACATGGAAACAACCTAAATGTCCATCAACAGAGGAGTAGATAAAGGAGATGCGTTACATATAGACAATGGAATATTACTCAGCTATAAAAAAGAACAAAATAATGCCATTTCCAGCAACATGGATGGACTTACAGATTATCATACTAAGTGAAGTAAGACTTACAGATTATCATACTAAGTGAAGTAAGTCAGACAGAGAAAGACAAATGTGACATCATTCATATGTGGAATCTAATTTAAAAAATGATACAAATGAACTTATTTACAAAACAGAAACAGACTTATAGATATTGAAAACAAACTTACGGTTACCAAAGGGGAAACACAGAGTGGGGGAGGGATAAATCAGGATCTTGGGATTAACATACACATACCACTATATATAAGACAGAAAACTAATAAGGACCTACTGTATAGTGCAGGGAACTCTACTCAATACTCTGTATATGGGAGAAGAATCTCAAAAAGAGTGGATATATGTATTATATGTATAACTGAATCACTCTGCTGTACAACTGAAACTAACACAACATTGGAAATCAACTATACTCCTATAAAATTAAAAAAAAGAAATGACTGTTGCGTGGGTAATGACAATAATCTCCTTATCACTACCTGCTAGAAGTCCAGGTGCCTCAGGGATCTCCCGTCACAGAGTGAATTCATTCTCTCTCTACATGAAGGAATCTGTACCTAGACTTTGCCTCTTCTGTCTCCTTCCTTATTAGAGGGTAATAATCTCACCATTCCAGGTAGTTCCATCATTCCTAAAGTTCTCGTCATAATTTCTTCCAACAGCCCGAGGCAATCTTAACGTCAGTGGAACACTAGTGGCCTGCCTGGTACTCAGAAGCAACCCAAGCAGGATATGTAGGTTAAAGTCCTGTTTCTGCCACCCATCCTCCCATCCTTCCCCCACCCTCCCCAGTTTTGCTACTTTAAAGCAAGCAAAGCCACATTTATTCCCTACGCAGGCTCAGAAAAATGTGTGTTGGCTAGCAAAAAATGTTTATACTTTTTTCCAGAGTGATCATGAGTATTTCTAAGGAGTAATCACTAAACAATGACCTACTCTCATATATATTCATTCAACTACTCTCATTACTTTATAATCTTACATTATGTGCTCACTGTATCATTATACTGAATCTAATACAGTATTGGCTCTTATATTGTCAATAATAGTTTTCAGTTACCATCTGGATGCTTTAAATGTATTAATGCTTAGACTTTAAAAAATTAAGAAGAGTTTCTGTTCAATAAATTGTTATCACTATCATTTCAAAGCATTTATTAAGCATTTCATTCCATGTGGTACTATTCTAGCTGGTATATAAACAAAAGAAGGCAATACCTTTTGCCTAGAGGTTGAATAGTAAACATAGGAATTGTAATTGATTTAGTTAATGTAAATATTCATAATTTTCACTGATAAAGAAGGAGACCAAGCTCAGCCTGGGCTCAAAGAGATGGCTGCATCTTAGAAAGGCCTTTATTCCATTTCCTGAGTACTTACTATACTCAAGATCTTCGTGGGCTTACAGAGAAAGATATGATAGAAACTCTGCCTTCTAGGGGCAAACAATCTTATGGGGAAACCCAAGAACTAGTTTTCCCTCCTTCTGAAGGTCATTTCACATCGCTTCAGAAACCGTACTTTAGCCTTGCTGTGCTGACATCCCACCCTGAACCACTGCTTACCTGCTGTTCTTAGGGCCCAGGATACACAGGCTGCAGCCCCCTGTGGGCTGATGGTACCCTGTCTACAGGGTCCTCCATGGAAGGCAGAGAAACACTGGACAGATGTTACCTCTTTAAATCCATGTCCCTTGTCGAGCACATCATTCCACAGAAAATCTGTATTAGGATGCAGTTACACTTAGTTGGCTGTAACAGAAACAAACAAACAAACACAATGGCCTAAATGATATTTAAGTTTACTTCTTTCTCTGAGAATAAGCAGTGCAGAGATGATAGAATGGTTCAGGAATCCACGCTCTGTCTTGTTTTGTCATCCTCAACGTGAGGCTTTGATCCCATGGTCTGAATTGGCTATTTCAACTCTGCTCACCAACTTTGCATTGGATGGCTGCTGTATGCAGAACAGACTGCAAGGGGTAAGAGAGTAAGTGAGGAACCCAACTAAATGACCACTGTAGTCCACATGAGAAATGGAAGTGGCTTGGACTGAGATCGCAGGAATGGAAAGAGAAAGAAATGGACAGATCTGAGATATCTGCAAGTAGAGTTAACAGGCCTTGTTGAGACATACGATGTGTGTGCAACAGAGGAGGAGATTGTTGAGGGCTGTGTGAAGAGTGGAATTGATGATTCTTAGGCTTTGGCTTTAACTGCTGGGTGGTTCCATTAAATGAGTTGTGGACAACTTCAGAAAAAATTTTAGGGGAATCAAATTAGTAAGAGTTAAATTTAGGCAGTTAAAACTTGAGATTTCTATTAGACAATTATGAGACGACCTGTTTGTCTACTGAGTTTTTTTGTTTGTTTTTTTGCAGTACGCGGACCTCTCACTGCTGTGGCCTCTCCCGTTGCGGAGCACAGGCTCCGGACGCGCAGGCTCAGCGGCCATGGCTCACGGGCCCAGCTGCTCCGTGGCATGTGGGATCTTCCCGCACCGGGGCACGAACCCATGTCCCCTGCCTCGGCAGGCGGACTCCCAACCACTGCGCCACCAGGGAAGCCCCGCCTACTGAGTTTTGACTACTATCGGATTTCTCCTTTCTGTGCCCTGATACCTACATGGATACCTGGTCCCCAAATGCTTCCATAATTATAAAGAGTTGTGTTGCTCTCCGTTCTTCAGTTTTATTTCTGGGGTTTCCTGGCCATTTGTTTCAGACCAGTCTTTGTAGATCTCAGTTTCCCCAGCTTCATTCTGCCTGGTGCTGGTTTCCTGTCCCCAGAGTGAGTTCTGATCCTGTGTTTCTATAGTCACAGGGTAACTTGAGACCAAGTCAAATCAAGCTGTTGGGAATAGACAAATCGTTTTTTGAAAAGAAACAATTTCTTTCCAATTCTTGCAAAATTTCACCGTCTATAATTTTCTTCTTTTGGTGTTGTTCATTTATTGGCATATGCAAAGAAATAAAATGCATTTTTAGAAAATGTCCAAACACTAAATAAATATTAGTAAGTTGGATATTTACTACTGATATTTTCTTATTTTGAGAATAAATATCCATTGCAGATGAAGAGAGAGGCAAAAGAGAAGCTATTATGTTCTTTTTTTTTTCTTCAACTATCTGTGACCTGCTCACTGTACATCAACTATATTATATAGACTTTCTGTTGGTAATTTCATGCTCCATTTTTTTTAACATCTTTATTGGGGTATAATTGCTTTACAATGATCTTTATGTAAAAAAAATAGCTTAAGGGTATCTTCATGGTACTAGAGCTGGTCCAAAAGTAGTTCCATTAGGTTGCTGAAAGCTGATCAACCTATAGGGGACTGTGAAACACTAACTAAACCGACAAACAATAGACTGGTCTCCTCAAGGGAAAATTTAATACATTGCCATGTGAAATAAACCCGACTTAACAATGGGATCCTGTTATCTGTATAGCAGGTTCCCTCTAAAACCAGTTTACGTGTTAATAATTTGCTTGACAGATACAGAATAGGACACAGAGTGTTAGATGCTCTCAAAAGATATCTCCATTAAGTCATCTAAGTCTGGGAAATTAGCTTTCTTTATTCTGGGGATACTTTTATCCAGATTAGAGCTCTTGGTCTTCTAGAATCAAAGCAGCCTCCTCGTGGAGAGTATTGGAAAACAGTGACAAATTCCACAGGTACCATTTCAACGTGACAGGCAAGCTACAGTGCAGTTGGAGAGAAGGAACAGTTTCATTTTATATTAGTGGCATTTGAGCCATGTCTTCTTGACACAGGGATTGGTCATTTCCAACTCTACCAACAACACATCTGTAAGTTGTCTCTTCAGCTATTGGTATTACGATTACATTCTGTTTTCACTTTCAGGTGATGACTTTTTCCTTATTCTACACCCACATTCTGGATATTCTAGTGTAGTCCTTCATGTGCCAACAACATTCAACTTTTAAGAATGACTTTAGGGACTTCCCTGGTGGCACAGTGGTTAAGAATCCGCCTGCCAATGCAGGGGACACGGGTTCGAGCCCTGGTCGGGGAAGATCCCACATGCACGGATCAACTAAGCCCATGAGCCACAACTACGGAGCCCACATGCCACAGCTACTGAAGCCCACGTGTCTAGAGCCCGTGCACCGCAACAAAGAGTAACCCCCTCTCGCTGCAACTAGAAGAAGCCCGCGGGCAAGCAACGAAGATGCAACGTAGCCAAAAATTAATTAAAAAAAAAAAAAAAGAATGACTTTAAAGCTGTGTGCCACAATCATTACGTTTACTAGGAATTCACAAGGCTCTTCTCAATGAAATTATTCAAACTAATTAATGATGTGTGTGAATCTACTGAAATGTGATGACTTACATAAATTGGGAGGGAATAAATACCCCATGGGTGCCTTGAATTCCAATTAGTAAATGGATATGTGTTCAAAATCAATGAGGAAATAAATTTATACATTTCACACTTATTTATCCTATTTGTTTTTACCCACTTAGAAGAAGTTTATATTATTTTTGATCTTGCAACAAAGGCTGTGTTGCTGGAAATATAAAAGTGGAGAGCTGGAAAATTATGCCAAACATTTGATCATATAACTTTTGTACATGACTTAAACTTTTTAAAATTAAACAAGTATTGAACACATAAGTTATCTAGAACATTTATAGAATTCAGAAGTAACGGGTAAAAAGTATAAGCTGATTTTTATGTTCTAGATTACTATTGATATAAATCTGTTTTTTAAACATGAATGAGCATTGACTTTTCTAAAATACTATTTTCTCCTTTAATTTTTCAGTGCCATAAATTACACAGAGTGATTACCCAATAGTGGACTGACTTTGTTTACCTAGAATAAACCTTACCTTGCTCATGTTGTATTATTCTTTAATATATTTCCATATTCAATTTGTTACTCTTATACGTGGGACTTTCACAGGTATGTTCAGGAATGATATTAGCCTAGAGTTTTCTTTTCTTCTTTAATACTATATCCTTGTCTGCTTTTTTTTCTTTTTTCTTTTTTTTTGTGGTATGCGGGCCTCTCACTGTTGTGGCCTCTCCCGTTGTGGGGAACAGGCGCCAGACGCACAGGCTCCCCAGCCATGGCTCAAGGGCCCAGCCCCTCTGCAGCATGTGGGATCTTCCCGGTCCGGGGCATGAACCTGTGTCCCCTGCCTCAGCAGGCGGACTCTCAACCACTGCGCCACGAGGGAAGCCCCCCTTGTCTGCTTTTAATATTAGAGTTATACTAATCTCCAAGAATGAGTTCAGAAGCTTTGCATATTTTCCAATGTTCTAGAAAATTCATACAACATAATTTCTTGTTAGAATTCTTCTGTGAAAGGACTTGGCCTGGTGCATTTTCATTCTTTTTTAATAACTTTTCTATTATTGAGAAATTCAAACATATACAAAAATAGAGAGGATGACATAATGTAACTTGATGCTCCCATCACCCAGCTTCAACAATTGTCAACTGACAGTCAATTGTTAAATCTAGTACAGGCATACCTCAGGGATACTGTAGGTTCCATTCCAGACCACTGCAATAGAGCAAAAACTGCAATAAAGCAAGTCACATGAATATTTTGGTTTTCCAATACATGTAAAAGTTATGTTTACACTATACAGTAGTTTCTCAAGTACGCATTAGCATTATATCTAAAAAAAAATGTATGTACTTTAATTAAAAAAACTTAATTGCTAAAAAATGCTAATTATCACTTGACAACACAGGGTTGTCATGAACCTTTGATTTGTAAAAGGTTTTGTGAAGTGCAATAAAGCACAGGGCAAAAAAATGAGGTATGCTTGAATTTTAAATATTATTTCAAAGCAAATTCTAGATGCTACACGATTTCATGTGTAAATATTCCAATATGGATCACTAAGAGATTAAAAACTCTTTATGAAAACATACCACAGTACATTTATCAAACAAAATATATCAATTCCTTGAATATATTGCCTGAATATTCCAAGGAATATTATTCTTTGAATAACAATAATTCCTTGGCTATTTGAATATATTCCTTAATATAATCAAATCAGTATTCAAATTTCCAGTTGTCTCCTAAATGACATTTTACAATTTGTCTGTTTGAATCACAAATAAGGTCCACATCTATACTAAAAAACTACAGTCATCAAAACAGCATAGTACTGGCACAAAAACAGAAATATAGATAAGTGGAGCAGGATAGAAAGCCCAGAAATAAACCCACGCACCTATGGTCAATTAATCTACGACAAAGGAGGCAAGACTATACAATGGAGGAAAGACAGTCTCTTCAATAAATGGTGCTGGGAAAACTGGACAGTGACATGTAAAAGAATGAAATTAGAATATTCTCTAACACGATACACAAAAATAAACTCAAAATGGATTAAAGACCTAACTGTAAGACCTGATACTATAAAACTCTTAGAGGAAAACATAGGAAGAACACTCTTTGACATAAATCACAGCAATATCTTTTTCGATCTGTCTCCTAAAGTAATGGAAATAACAAAAATAAGCAAATGGGACCTAATTAAACTCAAAAGCTTTTGCACAGCAAAGGAAAGTAAAAACAAAATGAGAAGACAAGCCACAGAATGGGAGAAAATATATGCAAATGAGGTGACTGACAAGGGATTAATCTCCAAAATTACAAACAGCTCATGCAGCTCAATATCAAAAAAACAAACAACCCAATCAAAAAGTGGGCAGAAGACCTAAATAGACATTTCTCCAAA